GCAGCAGCAGTAGCAGCTGTTAGGTGCAGCAGCAGTAGCAGCTGTTAGGTGCAGCAGCAGTAGCAGCAGCTGGAAGGTGCAGCAGCAGTAGCAGCAGCTGGAAGGTGCAGCAGCAGTAACAGCAGCTGGAAGGTGCAGCAGCAGTAGCAGCAGCTGGAAGGTGCAGCAGCAGTAGTAGCAGCTGGAAGGTGCAGCAGCAGTAGTAGCAGCTGGAAGGTGCAGCAGCAGTAGTAGCAGCTGGAAGGTGCAGCAGCAGTAGTAGCAGCTGGAAGGTGCAGCAGTAGAAGCTGAAAGGTGCAGCAGCAGCAGTTGAAAGGTGCAACAGCAGCAGCTGAAAGGTACAACAGCAGTAGCAGCAACTGGAAGGTGCAGCAGCAGTAGCAGCAGCAGCAGCAGCTGGAAGGTGCAGCAGCAGCAGGAGCTGGAAGGTGCAGCAGCAGCAGCAGCTGGAAGGTGCAGCAGCAGTAGTAGCAGCTGGAAGGTGCAGCAGCAGTAGTAGCAGCTGGAAGGTGCAGCAGCAGTAGTAGCAGCTGGAAGGTGCAGCAGCAGTAGTAGCAGCTGGAAGGTGCAGCAGCAGTAGTAGCAGCTGGAAGGTACAGCAGCAGTAGTAGCAGCTGGAAGGTGCAGCAGCAGTAGTAACAGCTGGAAGGTGCAGCAGTAGAAGCTGGAAGATGCAGCAGCAGCAGCTGGAAGGTGCAGCAGCAGCAGGAGCTGGAAGGTGCAGCAGCAGCAGGAGCTGGAAGGTGCAGCAGCAGCAGGAGCTGGAAGGTGCAGCAGCAGGAGCTGGAAGGTGCAGCAGCAGCAGCAGGAGCTGGAAGGTGCAGCAGTAGAAGCTGGAAGATGAGGCACAGGAACTAAAACAAGAAGCACCAAGAAATAGGAGGAGCCGGAAATAGCTGCACCATAAGTGCTGACAAACCAGTTTCCCAGATGTCTGGGGCAATTATGTTAGTTTCTTGTCTGAAAACACCTCTACCTCTATTTTAAATTCACCGACTACAGTAAAAAAAAAATATGTATCAAAGATATCCCTGTGTTTAGGGTTCCATGCTTAACATTTTCTTGAGTAAGTACCGAGTGCCAGTAGATTTGAACGTACATTATCTTGCTCTTTTTCATCTTAGGCTGTAGTTTCAGCACTTTCTTCCCTGGCACTGTCAGTGAAGACTATCAGAGATACCTCTTCTAAGGCCGACACATTTTCTCTCTCAATAAGACGCCTCTAGAGTTGATCCTGTGCCACATAGTGCTTCAAGACTTGGGGCCAGATTCATGCAGCAGTTATGCAAGTACAGTACTGTACTTACGAACGTGTACATCTTTCCTCAATCTTTGACAGCTTTGGTTACATTTATTAAACAGTTTACAAGCATGAAAACTTCCCAATTAATTGTTGTTATTGTTATAAACAGCCTCCCAGTGCTTCAGAGCTCATTAACTGTTTAATAATTGTAAACAAAGTCGCCAAAGATTGAGAAAAGATGTACAGGTTCGTAAGTGCTTGCGTATCTGCTTCGTGAATCTGGACCTTTGTTACCAAAGCAAGGGACTGGAGCTGGAGTTGGTGTGTATTCTAGTGTGCAATTGTTTGTGCAATGGTACCAACTTGTATGAGAGTACGTGGTTCTCTTTGTGTGGGTAAACACAAAGGTGGTTTCTGTGATCTTTCCATTCCTTATTTGTAGCTTCCTATACCCTCCCTCTGCAATAGGGGTGACATTTATCAGCCATACATTTGCTCTCTTGTATCTGGTCCATTGGTGTACCAGTTCTAATGCAACTGGGAATTCTGGACATTGCGTGGTATGAAGACTTTGTGCGTCTTTTGAATAGCTTCAAACCAGAATAACTGTACCTTTCAACCTGTCTCCATAGTTATTGCCTGCTTTGGACACTTGTTTCCTCTGGGAACCTCAGGATCTTGCCCAACTGTCTCTGAACCCTGCATTGTCTCAACAAATTGAACCAAGGGGGTGTTTGCCACATTCAACTTCATTAGATGTAGCTATTTTATCAATACATTTGTTGAAAATGTGTTTGGGTGCAGCACACACATGAAAGACAACACTTTTGTGTTGGCCACTGGATTTGTATAACAATCATTCGGTTTCTTCGAGTTGAACAGAAGAAATAAGATGATCAACAGTAGTTTACGAATTTATTCCTTTCCCAAAGACGGTTCGTAAACCGAAAATTCACAACCCGAAACAAATTTTCCCATAAGAAATAATGTAAATTGAATTAATCCGTTCCACACTCCTAAAAATATTAATTTCAAAATACATTTCATACCTAATTCACACAAATATTTAGAACTATAGTATGTTCAAGTTATAGCTTACCTTTATTGATGACTCTTGTTGGTGTATGAAAGACAGTGAGGATGGGAGGAGGAGAGGTTAATGTTTGGAGGGGGAGTTCCCTTCTATTATAACATCAGACAGTGATGACTTCTCTGGGGTACTACTCTCTCCCCTACATTTTGCAGGCATACCACTAGGACCTGGTTGTGGCACACTGCTTGCTTGTCTTACTAAGAATCTGTCTAAAGACACTTGTTTTTTTTATACATTTTACCACTAGGACCTGGTTGTGGCACACTGCTTGCTTGTCTTACTAAGAATCTGTCTAAAGACACTTGTTTTTCCATACATTTTAACACTTGTCTGTAGTGAGATCACATTGTCATTTAAAAGGTCAATGCAATGGAGCTACAGCTCTATCTTTCAACAAAACTTTGCAATCCTTCCCATACTTCACACATTTTCTTAATGAGGAAGGGACATCCTCTACTGCCTCTACTTACAACTACTTTCTTAGGTTGAATCTTACCATTGACTTTTTTGGGACCCTTGGCATGATATATAATTACTTTTATATTTTGGTTCAAAAACCAAAAAAGTAGAAAACAATAAAATTATCTACAAAGAATTCAAACGCAATCATCACAAAGTGGAAGGCATTGGTAAACTGAAGCGCGGGCGACTGTGCCACAAGGAACCACAGGCTCGGTCATCCATATGCATATCAACAAACTACGTTACTCAAGGCAAAGCTCGTAACCCAATTCAAATTTTACTTAGAAATTTGGCTCGTAACCCAAAAAGTTTGTAAGTAGGGACATTCGCCAGCTGAGGTGTCACTGTACCATATTTTCCAACTGGGTGACAACCATGTCAATGTTCTCCAGGTAGTCCCATGCCTGTCTTAGCTTGTTTCCCTGTATTAGAAGGATGCTTTCTGACATGTTCTTTTTTATGCATCATCTCAGCATCACTGGGTCTCTGTCACACATGGCTCCCTGCAAACTTTGTCTCTAGGGGACTGGTTATGCCTCACTTTCTCCCAAGATTGGGAATAGTCTAACTTGAAAACAGCTTTCATTTCTTGCTTATTTCCATTTTTGGCTTTGCTTTGCTTGTGCTTACATTGATGTCAAGTGCTCAGATGATGTCAGCTTTCCATTCAGAAGCTTGTACAGTGGCTGGGCTGTCTCAGCTTCAATGGCACAGTGGGTCCTGTAGACTGAAGATCCTGTTGATTGAATATGATGTTCTCCTGTGTTGCCATTCTTCTGTTCGGAGTTTGAACTTGGGTCGTCGTCCTCTGGTCTGGGACCCCGTCTTTAATCATCATCGGATTTTGGTTATCGCAGCAGCAGGCAGTACTTCATTTGAGTTTTGCTTTGAGGCCGTCTGGATGACTCATCATGCAGTCCTTCTCCTGCTCGACATAACCTCAGTCTTCCTTTGGTTTGGCTCTTAGTGGTTGGTTATGTTACTACAATCATCCCTTGTTGCAACATGCAACCACAATTAGACAAACCCTAGGCAACAAGCGAAGGGTCCAGGCAGCCATAGTTCACGGTAGGTTTCCGTCTGCTTGGCAGCAGATGCCTAAATGTTCACTCAAGCTGTCGCAAGAGTTTATCAATAAAAGGCTGCCAGGAGCATGAAGAATGATTTGACAAAATCCAGCAACTGTGGCAATCCCTTATCTCAGTCTTGCCAAAGGCAAAGTTTGGAGTAAATAATGATTAGATTGCCATCAGTCAAAACAGTTAGCGAAGCATAGTAAAACAGGCACACGGCATGGCCAAAACCCAATCTAGCTTTTCCAGAACTTCAGAGTTGAATGTAATGAAGTGCCTTTTTTCTGGTAGGTCCCTCAGTGGGTTCCCTCCTTCCCAAGCTACCTGCATGTACCACACCAGGTTCTATCAATTTATAAGCCACTACCATTTAATAACTCGCATGCCATCATATGGCAGCTCCAGTAACCTGAGGGGGTCCCAGCCAGTCTAGTCATTCGTGCACCTCCTACCCGCGTTACCTTGTTGCTTTTTGAGTGAACTTTGAGTGAATTTCCTGATACATTACCTGGCATCCAACCTCCTAGCCAGTCCATGCCATAGTTGGTATTTGGTGGTTTCCCCCTACAGGTCTCATTTCAGGGGGATTTATGGAGCCTCCCTCGTCGTCTATGATCACTATTTATCTATTTATGCCCCCCCCCCCCCCCCCCCCGAGTGTTATTCAGCATTGGTTGATACGCATGACAACCCTTAGTGTTTCCATTATTCCACCTGCTGTGTAAATGATTGTTTTCATCCCCAGTGTTGCAATGTCTGTCTCCATTAGACCTTGGTAGTAGCTCAGCCTTCTTCGAGGGTTGCAATTTACCAAGTGGCAGCCGCATTATGGGACTGAGCATTTCAATTTAGTTTCCACAGTTTTGGTTAGGTTCAGATATATTTCTAGAAGTGTAAGCAATAATAATTAATAATATTTTTCAGCTTTATCTTGATGTTGTTAGGCCCCATTTGGATTAATTATAAGGTTCAATTTTGGTCTCCATACCATATAATGGACATAAATTCACTAGAATGTGTACAGAAAATGATAAAAATTAATCTTAGGAATTATTTAAACAAAATTTAAATTGCTAGAAGCAAGGGGTGCTAGTAATAAACACCCAACCACAAGCTAAAATGCTCATACCTAAATGCACATTGGTGAGGCGGTGGAGGCCAAAACTGTCAGTAATTTTAAAGCGTTATATGACAGGATGATGGGAACAAGACACACCACGAGCGTAGCTCTCATCCTGTAACTACACTTAGGTAATTAATTACATGGAAGGGTGGAAAAGTACTGAAACAAATCTTGAAAGGAAAAGAATGCAGAAGCGATATGAAAGCAGTATTATTGCCTGTATGTTTTATTATTCAAAGAGAATAAGGTTTGTGTATATTAGTGACACAAATATATCTATATGTACTTATATTCTGCATCTTCTGTGATACAAATGACTTGACAGCCCATTGCATCACTGCACTTGGAAACCATGGTAAAAACAATAAAAATATGAAGAAAATGTAATACATTATAATAATACAATAGAAACACAATAATATAATACATGCATAATGCATGCAGTTACAATTTCATGCAAAATATGTGGGCTAAGCTGAACTCTAATTACAAGATTACCACTCCTATCAGAAGTGCTTAGTGGTTCGTATTGGTGCATGAAAATATAGATAGTTATATATAAAGCAAACACAGAATGTTTTATTGTTCAAGAATATAACATGATGCGCATCTTAGCGACACGAATATATCTAAGCATTCCGATGTTCCAGATTCTGTATTTTATTATAGAAATTCCTCAAATGACACATACTACTGAACAATATTACTAAAACAACTAAGAAAAATCAAGCAAGAAACATTGAAATAGATATATACAAATATTTCAGCAGCAACTCCCACCCCAGGCCTGCCTTGAGGCAACCACCACTCCAGGCCGATTGCTCCATACCTTGAGGTGCTTCCGAGGCTTCCGGGGCTCCATGACCGCTCATGAATTGTAATTTGATCGATTTGATTGTTGCTGCCGGAGGCAGCTAGTTGTGACATCGCCAAATTTCCTGGCTTTGCTACAGCCAAAGTAAGTCACATAGAATTTGCTTTCCTGTGATCAGGAAATACATTTTAACTATGTATTAGAATTTAAATAAAAAAATGTTATCACGCACCAGAACGCTGTCTTGTATAAACAGGTGTGCGACCCAAGGGTTAATAGAGACGTGAAGAAAGATGGATTATGATGGCTTAATATTTACCTAATGTGCTTCAGGGTTGTTTAGGAAGATATTTCATTATACTGTACTACTCTCCTGTGAAGGAAAGTCATAAATCATGACATGTATATACAGTAGTTGATGTAGGGCCCCTCTTTGTTTGTTTTTCCTGCAGGGTAAGGGGAGTTGCCTGGAGGCTGACCGGCCAAAATAAAATCACTTATGAAACAAATTACCCTCACCCCATATAGTTCAAGTGAGAACACATTAATATAGTAAATACAGTATATATAAATAAATACTGTACCGAAGCAAAAATGCCAGCCGACTCGAGGAAAGGAAAACGGGGAACCTCCCTAACTGAGAAATGTGGGGAATCCGTAGCCAATGTGGAACAGGCCAGAAAGTTAGCCAGGTGGCAGGAAGTGACTTGCTAGCCCCAACTTTGAAAAATGCAGTGAGGGAAAAGTGTAAGCTGCCACTGGAACCATACCTTGTGTTACCTTGCGATAATTTCAGGGCTTAGGGTCCCTGCAGCCCGGTCCTTGACAAGGGCTCCTCGTTGCTGGACTGGTCAACCAAGTTGTTGGACGTGGCTGATCACAGTCTGTCATATGAATCACAGCTTAGTTCATCAAGTATCCTTTGGAGGTGTTTATCAAGTTCTCTCTTGAACACTGTAAGGGGTCAGCCAATTATACCCCTTATGCGTAGTGGAAGTGAGTTGAACAGTCTCGGGCCTCTGATGTTGATAATAGTTCTCCCTCAGCGTACCTATTGTACCTTTGCTTTTCAACGTGGGTAATCAACACATCCGGCCATGCCTTACGGTCTCATGTGGTGTTACAGTATTTCTGTGTGCAGGTTTGGGAACAGCCCCTCTAATATTTTCCACGTGTAAATTATAATGTACTGTATCTCTCCTGCCTGTGCTCAAGAGAATACAGATGTAGGCATTTTAGTTGGTCCCAATAGTTTAGATGTTTTACCGAGTGGATTCTAGCAGTGGACCATAGCTGCAACACTTGCACACAGTGCACCCCACAGAACTAGCAAAGAACTGTCCACCCCAGGGGTGGACACCTGAACCTTTAGAAGAATATAACTCTTACTGAGAGCAGAGGCAATGTCAACAGCAGCAAGAGAATGCTGCTGGCACTGTACCTTTTAAATAATATCAATATTAATGTGTTTGCACCTGTTATGAAGGAAACCAAGTAAAACTAGTCTGTTTTCACTAGTGTTCCCTTACCTTAGACATATTACTTTAGTCCAAGTGTTTTTACTATTAAGAAAGAATTCGAGCACTATGTGCATTTGCTCGAGTCATATCAATGGGAAGCTTTGCTGGCATAATGTAATTTTGCTGAAATAATGTAATTACAGATGTCATTTAAGGTTAGTGAACAGACTGCAGGTGTCATTAGTGATTATGGGGATAAACAGCTGCCACATTAAACATAATATGGTTTGCTATAAATCAATCCAAGTAGGCTGGGCAATTAACCTAGGTAGGCTAGGTGATTAAACTAGGTAGGCTAGGTGATTAACCTAGGTAGTCTAGGTGATTAACCTAGGTAGTCTAGGTGATTAACCTAGGTAGTCTAGGTGATTAACCTAGGTAGTCTAGGTGATTAACCTAGGTAGTCTAGGTGATTAACCTAGGAAGGCTGATTAATCTAGGTAAGCTAGGTGATTAACCTAGGTAATTAACCTAGGTAGGCTGGGCAATTAACCTAGGCAGGCTGGGCAATTAACCTAGGTAGGCTGGGCAATTAACCTAGGTAGGCTGGGCAATTAACCTAGGCAGGCTGGGCAATTAACCTAGGTAGGCTGGGCAATTAACCTAGGTAGGCTGGGCAATTAACCTAGGTAGGCTGGGCAATTAACCTAGGTAGGCTGGGCAATTAACCTAGGTAAGCTAAGTGATTAACCTAGGTAGGCTGATTAATCTAGGTAAGCTAGGTGATTAACCTAGGTAAGCTAGGTGATTAACCTAGATAGGCTAGGTGATTAACCTAGGTAGGCTGGACAATTAACTTATGTAGGCTAGGTGATTAACCTAGGTACTCTGGGCAATTACCCTAGGTAGACTAGGTGATTAACCTAAGTACTCTGGGCAATTAACCTAGGTAGACTAGGTGATTAACCTAGGTAGGCTGGGCAATTAACCTAGGTAGACTAGGTGATTAACCTAGGTAGGCTGGGCAATTAACCTAGGTAGGCTGGGCAATTAACCTAGGAAGGCTGGGCAATTAACCTAGGTAGACTAGGTGATTAACCTAAGTAGGCTGGGCAATTAACCTAGGAAGGCTAGGTAATTAACCTAGGTAGGCTAGGTGATTAACCTAGGTAGGCTGGGCAATTACCCTAGGTAGGCTAGGTGATTAACCTAGGTAGGCTGGGCAATTAACCTAGGTAGGCTGGGCAATTAACCTAGGTAGGCTAGGTAATTAACCTAGGTAGACTAGGTGATTAACCTAGGTATGCTGGGCAATTAACCTAGGTAGGCTAGGTAATTAACCTAGGTAGACTAGGTGATTAACCTAGGTAGGCTGGGCAATTAACCTAGGTAGGCTAGGTAATTAACCTAGGTAGGCTAGGTAATTAACCTAGGTAGGCTGGGTGATTAACCTAGGTAGGTCTGGGCAATTAACCTAGGTAGGCTAGGTGACTAACCTAGGTAGGCTAGGTGATTAACCTAGGTAGGCTAAGTGATTAACCTAGGTAGGCTGGGCAATTAACCTAGGTAGGCTGGGCAATTAACCTAGGTAGGCTAGGTGATTAACCTAGGTACGCTGAGTGACTTACCCAGGTAGGCTAGGTAGGCTTACCCAGGTAGGCTGGGTAAGCTTACCCAGGTAGGCTGAGTGACTTACCCAGGTAGGCTGAGTGACTTACCCAGGTAGGCTGGGTAGGCTTACCCAGGTAAGCTGAGTGACTTACCCAGGTAGGCTGAGTGACTTACCCAGGTAGGCTGAGTGACTTACCCAGGTAGGCTGAGTGACTTACCCAGGTAGGCTGAGTGACTTACCCAGGTAGGCTAGGTAGGCTTACCCAGGTAGGCTGAGTGACTTACCCAGGTAGGCTGAGTGACTTACCCAGGTAGGCTGAGTGACTTACCCAGGTAGGCTGAGTGACTTACCCAGGTAGGCTGAGTGACTTACCCAGGTAGGCTTACCCAGGTAGGTGTAGGCTTACCCAGGTAGGCTGAGTGACTTACCCAGGTAGGCTGAGCGACTTACCCAGGTAGGCTGAGTGACTTACCCAGGTAGGCTGAGTGACTTACCCAGGTAGGCTGAGTGACAGCATCCAGAGACCTTGAAGCTAGTAAAGGTACGACCCGTCCTGAAACCACCAGAACAACATAAACTTCCAATTAAAATATTACCTAGCTAGGCCTATCTTATACATTTTTATAGGCCTTATAGGCTAACAAGGCGTATAGGCTTATACAATACCTACTAGAGAACCGGGACAAAGAGACAGCCACATAGGCGAGAGAGACAGGACAAAACATGAATTACGATTTACAATTACATTACGCCTACCCATTCTGCTTATACACATTCCCTGAACTTACTTGGACACTCATTAGTTTTATTACGCGACTGTGAGGACCCAGTTTGTCCAATTAATAAGGTGGCAGGTGTTTGTTGAGTGTTGTCCGGGGAAGTGTTGTGAGTGGTGGTGGAGCACTCCAAGATGGCCGCCGCGCGCAGTACTGCCAACTGCAGAAAATCCCCAGAAATAATTGACATTGAAATAAGTTTATTGAGGTATAATGCACATAAAGGCATGAGGTAGCTCAAGCTATTCTCATCCCGTTCAGTACATTGTGTTAATACATATATAGACACACATCACAAACAATAAACATTTTACCGAACATTCTGAGAGATAAACATATATACATTTCCTAAATACCCAGAGGGTCGGTTCTGGGTAAACTCCTAGCGTAATTTAATTATTTATTATGCATAATAAATGAACTAAGCTAAACTTTCGAGTTTTACGTTCGTCAGAGTCTCTTTTTTTTTTGTCTGGGTAATATTTACCGGATTTACGTAACCCTAGTGGCCTCATCGAGGACAGGAAGCCGGCGGCTTCTCGTAGGCCCCCCCCACCACTGGGACCTATCTTATCAAGGCATTTGCATTGATAAGATATTGGAGGACATATATGTACCCGAGAGCCACCTCTAGTAACTTACGGGCTCACCATAGCTCGTTCTACTTAGAATTTTTTCTGAGTTGCTGAATCTCGTGATCATGACGGCGACAGGAAAGGTCCTAATTATTCAACAGTTCATAAATGTTATCTCACTTAGTGTTAAGAATTATCCCATTAGGCTCGTTTATTGTTCTCATTGTCTTACGCAATGCCCGAAACGCTCTGCGTATTATAGAAGTTTTAGACATCGTACTTATCTTACCTATGACTCCTTCGCTGTTCATGTCATATATTTACCCGAGTTTACCTGAGAGCCCACGGGAGACATCTCCCGTCACGCAGGGTGCAGTCGCACCTCCACAGATCTCCAGTATCATCTATTGATACTGGTAATGGCTCAAAAGGGCCTCCACTTACGGGCTATTCATGCCCGTGCCACCTTTTGGGTGGCTTAATCTTTATCAATCAATCAATCCTGAGAGCCACTAATACTAGTGGCCTCGACGAGGACAGGAAGTTTCTCTTGATGATCTTTTTCAGCTGTACTTTAAACGTTAGCAGAGTTATGACATTAATGACCTCGGCGGGTAGGCAGTTCCATGAGTTCATAACCCTGTGGGTGAAATAGCATCTCCTGTTCTCAGTCCTAAATTGTGACTTGTTGACCTTGAAACAGTTGCTCCTTGTTTGTGTTACACCCGACCTTTTGAAGAAATTTTCCGGATCAGCATCCTCCAATTTGGACTGCACCGCTCCTGTGCCAGGTAAGTCCACTACGGGCTCACCATAGCCCGTGCTACTTGCAACGTGTTTCGAGTAGCTGAATCTATAACAACAGTAACTCCAATTTGTTCAGTATTTTAAACGCTTCAATAAGTTGAAGTCCTGTGGCCCTCAACCATTCCTGATACGTGACTTGACAGCTGACAGCTAAGTAGACAGCACTCGGGGTTCGTAGACCTAAGGATCCGGATTCGATCCCCGGCGGAAGCAGAAATAAATGAGCAGTTTCTTTCACCTTGATGATCCTGTTCACCTAGCAATAAATAGGTACCAGGGAGTTAGACAGCTACTACGGGCTGCTTCCTGTGTGTGTGAAAATTAGGATTAAGGACCAGCCCGAAACGCTATGCGTGCTAGTGACTGTACAAGAATGCAAGAACTCTTGTATATATAAATAAAAAAAATGAAAAATCAATGCTTGTTGTACTGCTTGAGTCATTCATCTACTTTCCTCTCGTTTTTTCCTCCTTTTTGGTACATATTTTTGAACGTGTGTGTGTGTGTGTATGTGTGTGTGTGTGTGTGTGTGTGTGTGTGTGTGTGTGTGTGTGTGTGTGTGTGTGTGTGTGTGTGTGTGTGTGTGTGTGTGTGTGTGTGTGTGTAATTACCTAAGTGTAATTACCTAAGTGTAGTTACAGGATGAGAGCTACGCTCGTGGTGTCCCGTCTTCCCAGCACTCTTTGTCATATAACGCTTTGAAACTACTGACGGTCTTGGCCTCCACCACCTTCTCACTTAACTTGTTCCAACCGTCTACCACTCTATTTGCGAAGGTGAATTTTCTTATATTTCTTCGGCATCTGTGTTTAGCTAGTTTAAATCTATGACCTCTTGTTCTTGAAATTCCAGGTCTCAGGAAGTCTTCCCTGTCGATTTTATCAATTCCTGTTACTATTTTGTATGTAGTGATCATATCACCTCTTTTTCTTCTGTCTTCTAGTTTTGGCATATTTAATGCTTCTAACCTCTCCTCGTAGCTCTTGCCCTTCAGTTCTGGGAGCCACTTAGTAGCATGTCTTTGCACCTTTTCCAGTTTGTTGATGTGCTTCTTAAGATATGGGCACCACACAACAGCTGCATATTCAAGCTTTGGCCTAACAAAAGTCATGAACAATTTCTTTAGTATATCGCCATCCATGTATTTAAATGCAATTCTGAAGTTAGAAAGCATAGCATAGGCTCCTTGCACAATATTCTTTATGTGGTCCTCAGGTGATAGTTTTCTATCTAGAACCACTCCTAGATCTCTTTCTTTATCAGAATTCTTTAAAGATTTCTCACATAATATATAGGTTGTGTGGGGTCTATGTTCTCCTATTCCACATTCCATAACATGACATTTATTAACATTAAATTCCATTTGCCAAGTGGTGCTCCATATACTTATTTTGTCCAGGTCTTTTTGAAGGGCATGACAGTCATCTAAATTTCTTATCCTTCCTATTATCTTAGCATCATCAGCAAACATGTTCATATAATTCTGTATACCAACTGGTAGATCATTTATGTACACAATAAACATCACTGGTGCAAGAACTGAACCCTGTGGTACTCCACTTGTGACATTTCTCCATTCTGATACATTGCCTCTGATTACTGCCCTCATTTTTCTATCAGTCAGAAAATTTTTCATCCATGATAGAAGCTTACCTGTCACCCCTCCAATATTTTCCAGTTTCCAGAACAACCTCTTATGTGGAACTCTGTCGAAAGCCTTTTTTAGGTCCAGATAGATGCAGTCAACCCAACCATCTCTTTCCTGTAATATCTCTGTGGCTCGATCATAGAAACATGTGTGTGTGTGTGTGTGTGTAAATCACGAAAATTAAGCAGGCGATGAGTCACAATAACGTGGCTAAAGTAAGTTGACCAGACCACACACTAGAAGGTGAAGGGACGACGACGTTTCGGTCCGTCCTGGACCATTCTCAAATCGAGAATGATCCAGGAGGGACCGAAACATCGTCGTCCCTTCACCTTCTAGTGTGTGGTCTGGTCAACGAAAATTAACACGCGATGAAAAGTGTGTGTCAGACCACTGTCACATTTGATAAACTATTACTTAGAAACAGCCCTCGTAGTGATAATTGTGTCATTTATAAAATACCTTGTAAAGACTAATAGGTTCTATGTTGGGTAAACATCTAAAGATTTGAAACGTAGAATTTCGCAACATAAATACTCTGTAAGACCAATTGTCTAGTGCTCTGTTCATTTGTCAGAAAATTCTCACCAAATTTATTGGGAGATGACTTCTTAAATAACCAATTGTAAAATCACTTTCAATAGGAACATAATTGAATCTGCTTTAATACAGATTACAAAATCATGTAATTTGAATATTAGCAGTGGTTTATATAATTTAGATACATTTTTGATAGATCAGTTAAAGGGCGATTTGAGTAGGATCATTGATACACATTTGTCTCACTAATTCATTGTTAATATTCTCTATCTTATGCTATTATTGTCCATGTATGGGTCTATTGAGCCATTGGATGTTGCTGCTGTTCATACCCACCCAATCCCAGTCATAAATTGTCATCATTGTACCTCACTTCACTTCTCTCCTGCCTATATCTGTCCAAATCTTTTTACTTGTAACTCACTCTTCTGAATATGTATTATTAAATACGAAAGTACTTAAGGAAATTCCTGTTTCAATTCTTCCTCAGTCTTGTAAACAGATGTTGTTGAATATGACCGAAAGTGGGGTGCCACAGGGGTCCATTTTGGGACCTACCCTTTTGGTTATATACATCAATGACATAGACGAGAATATTACAAATTTATAATATCATCAAATTTGCAGATGACAAAAAGATTTATCGTAAAGTGGGAAATGATAATGATATTGAAGCTGTACTTGTGGTCGATCTCGAACCCATTGTTGATGTGACGACTTATACTGAATTTTGTAACTAGCTCATCAAAATTGTAACTTGTTAAGCTAAATGATTTGTGGGGTTCAGTCCCCGAGTCCATTATGTGCCTCTGTAACCCTTTCCACTACCGCCCACAAGATGGGTATGGGGTGCATAATAAATGAACTAAACTATTGAAGCCTTACAAAGAATTCTACACGAGTTCCTCAAATGGTCAGAAGACTTGCAAATGCTTTTCAATATCAACAAATGTAAGACCCTGTATGTGGGGCATAACAACCCGTGCCACGACTACCAAATTAATAATATTACATTACAGCAGATTGATGAAGAAAAGGACCTTGGGGTCAAAATCCACCACTCTTAAAAGTTGCACAACAGGTGGGTGAAACAGTCAGAAAAGTTAACCAAACTCTTGGGATTACCAAGCGAACTTTTGACTATATGGAAAAAAAGGTAATGGTTCAATTGTATAAATCTCTTGCGTGCCCCCATTTGGATCACTGTATCCAAGCATGGAGACCTCATTTTCAGAAGGATATAGCTGCTCTGGAGAGGGTGCAACACCGGGCAACAAAAGTCATTCCAGTGCTAAGTCATCTTCCGTATCGGGAACGCTTGACGGCAACAGGGCTAACAACACTGCAACCAGGCATGACAAGTCGGATCTCACTGAAACTTTTAAGATTTTGAACAATTTGGTTGATGCTGATACAGAAAATTTCTTCGAAATGTCAGATGTAACACAAACAAGGAGCAACGGTTTCAAGCTCATCAAGCCACAATGTAGGACTGAGAACAGATGCTTTTTCACTCACAGGATTATAAACCTATGGAACCACCTACCTGCTGAAACCGTAATTGGCAAAACTTTGTTAAATTTTAAAATCAAGCTGGAAAAGATCATCAAGTCAAATGGGGGTCCTTTGGCAAGCCGCCGGCGTCCTGTCCTCGTCGAAGCCATTAGTGTTAGTGGCCCTCAGGTAAATTCAGGTAAATATACGATAGGGTAGCAGCATATATATCAGTACATATAATTGTGTGTAAACCTAAGCTTATACAAATAGAATTCTTGATCTAGGAACTTTGTGAGAATACGCAATTTACACACCAAAATTTATAGAAAGTAACCCATAATACTTAACTGTAAACATATTAAAAAGTAAATGCATATATGTAAATAAAAGAAATCGTGGGATTTCCTCCAAGCTTTCCTGGGCATATTTCTTGTGTTGGCAACACTAAACCTGTCAGCCATTTTACAGGCGCCTAATAAACACATACTCACCTAACTGCACTCACCTAGTTGTGCTTGCGGGGGTTTAGCTTCAGCTCTTTGGTCCCGCATCTCAACTGTCAATCAACTGGTGTATAGGACTAGTAATATAAAACAGATAATATAAATTTTCCTACAGTAGTATAGGTTATAATTGTAGTACGCGAATAAAAGGAAATTTTCCTTGGACAATAATTTTATAGCGATATATAATCTTTTTATTAACATTGTGATGAGGATTCGGACCTGCCCACTTGGTACTCCCAAGCACACGCCTTAGCCCACTTCACCACGACGTGGTAAAATACAAAGCAACCCGAGATTCAACTGAATCTTCTATGGGTTCCGAGGCTTCCACTTAAGCCCAACTAGGGTTTCACACATCGTCCCCGAGCACTCTGGCTGTGGTCTAGGAGCTCTACCTCCAACCCTTCTCTTCAAGTACGTTTATTGAGACTATAAAATAGATCTCAAAAGGATTGAGTAGCTTAGGCTATTTCTACCCTCCTCTACTTTCCCTCAAGGGGCGCACAAATCCAGCGAGTACAAATCCACAAATTACAGTGCAAGAATCACAGTTTATATTGCAGATTAAAATAGTAAACACGGCATTTTAAGTGTTACACTCTTGGGGAAAAGTGTTTGTAGCTCATAAGTATTCTGTTTTATCATACAGAAACGCTACGCGTACTTGTGGCTGTACAAGAATGTAACAATTCCTGTATATATCTAAAAAAAAAAAAAAAAAAAAAAAAAAAAAAAAAAAAAAAAAAAGTGTGGGCGAGCCGACTGTAAAATGGCTCCAGTTCGGGCAAAATTTGAGTAATTTCGTAATTGTGGCCTCATTAGTATGTGTAACGCCTGACCCTTTAATTGTACATTACTCTTTTGTTCTTTGTACACCCATTCTTTTAAATAAACATTATTATTATTATTATTATTATTATTATTATTATTATTATTATTATAAGAGTTCTTGGAGACATGATTACCACATGATTACCACATATAACATTCTCAGGGGATTGTTGATGTGACGACTTATATTGAATTTTGTAACTAGCTCATCAAGATTGTAACTTGCTTAGCTAAATGAACTGTGGAGTTCAGTCCCTGAGCCCATTATGTGCCTCTGTAACCCTTTCCACTACCGCCCACAAGATGGGTATGGGGTGCATAATAAATGAACTAAACTAAACTAATTGACAGGGATAGAGATGAAAAACGGGGAGATTAGAAAGAACTTTTTCAGTATCAGGACAGTTGACAAATAAAATCCATTAGGAAGTGATTGGTGGAGGCTGACTCCTTACACAGTTTCAAATGTAGATATGATAGAGCCCAATAACCCCAATTTCTGACCAGGGGGAGAAAGATACTGGCAGTATGGGGCGTTAAAGTTTATTGAAGATTAAATTCTGCAGAACATGTAAATATATAAAGTTCAAATATATAAAGTAAGTAATTATATAAAGTTTATATTAAACACGGTTTATATTATAGACTTATAACAAAGTTGATATTATATTAAACTTAATATTGAACATGTAAATATATAAAGTTTCAAATATATAAATTAAGTAAATATATAACGTTTATATTAAAATATATAAAGTAAATATATAAAGTAAGAATTAACAGTAACAATTCCAAGTCCGAGGACTAGATTTAACTTAAAAGGTACACCCGTAGTAAGTATGAGACCTTAGCCTATAGTGACATGGAAACTAATTCTGCAGAAACCTAAAGGTTAACTGGTACTAGAATTAAGGCCGAGTGCAAATGTGTAGTAATTATATAACACTAGGATATAACAGGCAGGACACAAAGAATAACTAATAAGTGAGAGACCACATAACACGTAATGTACCCGGCCAAGAGGCCGTAAAAGACCTAATGGATAAGGAGAAGGGGGTGTGACTACAAGTAGGGCTTACTAGCACCTAGACTGGGCAAAGTATTAGCTGCGGACAGCGGGACACTTGGGGACCGGCGCTGCACCCCCCTTCCCACATGCAGTGGGGAGACAATCGGGACAACTGTGCAAAGCATGACGGGGGTACAAAAGCAGCCGCTTGCAAAGGGGGGGAGGGCGGGGTTTTGCGAGGGCAGGCGGAGTGAGGGCAGAGCCCCATTGTGCGCCCGTATTTATACGGCCCCAAACTGCCCGCGCAACGCCGCGGGACGCGCTGCGCAATTGTTTCTTTCTCCCCCGCCAGAAACATCCCCGCTTGCGATCAAGCAGTGACCATTAACTTGTACACCAGCTGGTAGGCGGGACCAAATAGTCGATGCTCAACCCCCGCAAGCACAATTAGGTGAGAACAGTCACACAGATATTTCCATTTATATAAATAATTTTGTTATAAAACGTAATTATCGACACTAACTGATAACACTGTTGCTTGAGCATGCCAGTAGGTACATTCCTAATAAGCGCTGATATAAACAAACTTGAGATAAATATAATTTTTCCTTCACTAGCGAAAACGAAACAAAATTCCATATTTACCGTAGTGTAAACATTGAATGATAAATGTATTAGGTTAGTTGACAGACGCAATAATTAAGGGACTGGCATCGCAGACTTCCATTCTCCGGTTCATCTCCCACGATGCCTCCAGTGTGATAATGGACTCGGCCAAGTGGGTCCACTATCTCCCGGTTAACTTCCAACATACCTAGTGAGTTAAATTATCAATAATACTTTACATAAATTGGTAAGTTGCAAATAATTTAACCGTCACTATATAGTGAATTAAAAAGTTTGCAACTTCTTCAAAATTTCTCTTGAGTCTTGAAAGTTTGCTATACATATCTAGTTGTTCTATCCTAAAAGGTCTCGGTCCGGATAGAGGGCCGGTAGCCTGTGGTTGTGATGGGGATAGGGACCCCGTAGCTTGTAATAGTACTGGGGGATAGGGACCCGGTAGTTTGTGATTGTACTGGGGGATAGGGACCCGGTAGCTTGTGATAGTACTGGGGATAGAGGGCCGGTAGCTTGTGATAATACTGGGGATAGGGACCCGGTAGCTTGTAGTGGTGACTGGGTTAGGAAGCCTCACAAAATAATTACATGCAACCAATCAGTGTACAAACATGTAGCCTAGCCAATCGGCTTTCAAAGTACCTACGCAATAACAGAAAACAATGCATGAGAGAGGTACCCACAACGAGCATACTTTCATCAGTTTATGTCCAAAATATTTTCTACGAACGTCTTAACATTGTAAACTACGAAACTCTTTATTACTGCTAATGTGCTTACATACTCACATACAGTACACCAGCGACAAAATCCTAGCACAACAAACCTCCACACTAATAAAAAAGATAAAACCGAACAGTAACGTAATCCAACCCCAAGACTCATAATATGAAAACACTTAAGTATACAAAATTTTATAAACACAAAACAAAAAATACCACAGAAAAGTCTACCATGAATCAAAAGTAAGGACAATTATATGAGATTAATATACCAATCAGAAAGGAAAAAAAACACACCCTAACCCCCAAGCACTAAGCGCAGGCTCCATACAGTATATGGCTATATAATCCCGATGGACTATATAGCCATATAATCGCTATATAGTCCTGATGGCTTGGCGCCTTCTACTCACAGATCCCTTCCCTCCATACAGTAAACCCGACCATTGTCATGTAGAAACAGTAGGTGTCTGATCTACAGAGTAGCCTTCCTGCCTCACAACCCGTACACAATAAATGTAATCAGACATAATCATAGCCAATGTATTCCGAACCCGTGGGCACGTGGAAGAGCAGTTAAACACCTCAACAACTCCACAAGCCACAAGCTCTACGGGAGCCTCGTAGCCTGGTGGATAGCGCGCAGGATTCGTAATTCTGTGGCGCGGGTTCGATTCCCGCACGAGGCAGAAACAAATGGGCAAAGTTTCTTTCACCCTGAATGCCCCTGTTACCTAGCAGTAAATAGGTACCTGGGAGTTAGTCAGCTGTCACGGGCTGCTTCCTGGGGTGTGTGTGTGTGTGTGGTGTGGAAAAAAAAAAAAAAAAAAAAAAAAGTAGTTAGTAAACAGTTGAGAGGCGGGCCGAAAGAGCAAAGCTCAACCCCCGTAAAAACACAACTAGTACACAACTAGTAAACACAAGCACACTAGGCTTCAACCACGCCACCAACGCAGTACTCATTTACAAAAGTAAAGCACATGGAACGTACACTCCTTCCTCCTCATCACATAAGAGGACAATTAGCACTATCTCGAATACCCAACATATGCAGCCTAGTGTTAGGATTAAGGTATTTTGTAGGATAAGGTATTTTGAGGTCTTCTCGCTACGCTACGAGACCAACGTGATCACGCTACGCTCCTCACTCTAAGCTGTATATCAGCCCTTATACTATCGCCAGATGATGTAGACCGCCACCCACAGGCAGCTAAGTACATGGAGTCCTAGCATGTTATAGCAAAACCAAAGTAACCGACCAAAATCAACTCATTCCATCTCAATTAAGTTTCAAAACATTCCTCTACGGCTGTGAGTACCAGTGCATGCTGCCGCCACCGCGCTGCCTGACGCAAGTTTCTTCACAATATATACCCCCAGTCCATTCTAACCAATCATGTCTCCTAAAAATGGGACTGTGCAGAGAAAGAAGGACAACAAACCCCTTAACAAGGCAACCATCCCGGCCAACTCAAACAATATTCGTGTTTCTCCGTCTGGAAGCTCTGGGGTCCAGGGCAGCGGTGCTGCCCTCCCCTCCACCCCTTTGAGCAAGGGAGCAGAGTACTCTCAACCCTCTCCTATGGACATGCTAGCATCCCACTATAAGCAACTTAAGCGAGCTTCCGGTCCCTCACCGGAATTCTATAACTGGGCCGAGAATCAGTGGTTCAAAAAGTTGTGCCAAGTCCTCGAGTCTCAAAATGCTATCATCTTGAGTCTTCTAAATGAGAATCTAGCGATCCGCGCTAATCTCCAACAACAACAACAAGAAATAACCCTCCTCCGCGAGGATATTAGAAACTGCAAGGCAAGCCAAGACCAACTACAGCATGATTTGAATGACCTCCGTGAGGAAAGCAACCTTCTGAAAACTGATGAAGCCATTAAAAAACAGGAGGAAGCTCTCAGCAAAATGACTGCATGTATCAGTACATTTTCAGCCCAGCGTTCTGTCTCCCAGGATGAACAAGACCAGCAAAAGCTGCTAGACTCTGTTATAGTGTCGTCCCAAGATATACCTGTGGAACATGAAGGTGAAAACTGTGTCGAAATAGCTCTGGATCTCGTAAAAGACAAATTGCAGCTCATTCTAAACAAATCAGACGTTATTGCTGCCTACAGAGTAGGCAAAAAGAATCCATCAGGTCAAAACCAACGGAAAATTCGCCTGAAGCTGTCTTCCCAGTTCACGAAATCCAATCTAGTCCGGACAGCTGTAACCCAACGGAAGGGATTATACATCAACGAGTGCTTGACTAGGAACAGACAGCACCTCCTCTACCGCCTGCGTCAAATCCGTCAAAAAAACCCAGATGCGATTCATCAGTGCTTCGTTAGAGATGGACTGATAAAGGTGAGAAAAACCGCAGAGGGCAAAATGTTCACAATTACTAAAGAAGAGAACCTCAACGCTTTCCTCTCCCAATGTGGTCTGTCTCAGCTCATTATCACTCCCAGTGAATTAACTTAATTAACCCCCTGTCAACTAGTGGGGCTAGGTTTCCTAAGTCTCATTGTTTCATTTTCTGACTTAATTTTTAACTTACTCTTAACTAGTCATTTATTGAAATTATTTAATTGAGTGCATAAATAGTTCTTCAGGTCTTATTAATTATACAGTCATAACTGAACTATTTATAGTTAATAATCATTAGCTTAAATTTGCCTATGCTTATTATTCAACTTTTCTTTGATTTCATTTATTACCTAGGTTGCCTAGCCTCGCCATGCTCCCTTACTCCATTGTACCCCTGGCTTTGCCTGCATCTCAAATTGCAAATTGTTACTTACAGTGTACCTGAGAGTACTTGTAAGCAATCTACCTCATTTTTCATTTTTGCTCAATTTGTTTTTGTATTGCTTAGTCTTGTTTATATTTTTGTTTTGTATTTCTATATCTTGTGTTTTGTATAGTCCATGTTTATATGTTCTTTCGTTAATCTCATTTATTACCTAGGTTGCCTAGCCTAGCCATACTCCCTTACTCCATTGTACCCCTGTAAGCCCCTTTTGTGTTTGCTTTGTACTGTATGGTGTACATTTTTTTCCCTATTTTATAGCTTATTTCTACCTTGTTATTTGCCTTTCTTCCCTTGTTTTTCCTGCAATCAGTTTTTTTTTTATGCAGACAAGTATAGACCCTGAACTTAACCTCTTATCCACTATCTATGACAATTATCACTTTAATGATCTAAATTGCAGATATTTTGCAGCACATGATGTAAACAATGTATTAACTCATAATCACAATATCTCTGTAATCAATTTGAACGTTAGATCCCTAGGTAAACACTTTGATGATGTTAGTGCCTTGATTGAAGCTATTAACAACAAATTCTCTTTTATTATACTTACTGAAACATGGTTGAAAGAGGATACTACTCAGCTCTTTAACATGCCTAACTACTCAGCAATTCACAACTGTCGTCAACTTCAGAGAGGTGGTGGCACTGCTCTTTACTACCACCAAGAACTAACATGCTTAAAAGAAATTAGAACCAGAGACTGCTATGGGGAGTATATCTTCGCCAGCTTCAGAGTCAAGGGTGCCGAGTCTGTCCTGACTGTGCAGTTTATAGCACCGAGTCTTTGGGTGCAGTTTATAGAATTCCTAACACTGATGTGTCTGAATTCAACTCAAACCTTAGAAATCTAATACTTGATAACAGACTGAACAAAAACCACCTAATTATCGCAGGGGACTTTAATATTGACCTCTGCGAGCCTGAACACCCCACTGCTGCTAGCTTCCTCATACCCTTAATCACTAGACCTACTAGAATCACTGATAGCACTGCCACGACGCTAGATCACATCTGGACAAACGTAACCTCTCCGCTTACTTCAGGTATAATCACCGATAGCACTACAGATCATTACCCCACATTTCTCTTAACTAACATTAGCAAACCACCTCTTGAGTCAAGAGTGATACGTTTTAGACTTCACAATGAAACTGCTTTAGACAATTTTATAACTGCTGCTGATAATGTCAACTGGGAGTCCGAGTTAGGTAACATAGTGGACATCAACCTAGCAGTGCAATCTTTTCTTCAAAAAACTCTTAGCCTTTATAATACCCACTGTCCTATGCTTACAAAACAAGTCACAACCAAAAGGCTTAACAATCCCTGTCTTACAAAGGGAATACTTAAATCTATTAATAAAAACATGACCTTGAGAAGAAGTATAGGTTAGGAATTGTCTCCAAAGAATTCTCAAAGAATTACTCATTATTGCTGTCTAAGATAATTAGACGAGCCAAAACTAAATACTACGAAGATAAATTTACCCAAATAAAGAGCAACATTAAACAAACTTGGAGAACAATTTCTCAAATATTGGGATCAAAGAAGTCTTTAAATAACAAACCGACTCTCCTGTCTAATAACGATGGTCAGCTTTCAGCCTCTGATTCTGCTATTGAGTTCAATAGGTTCTTCTCTTCCATTGGTTCATCCCTTGCAAATGATATTCCATCTTCCAGTACAGACATTAAGGACTATCTTTCAGGTAACTATCCACAGTCTCTGTACCTAAAGCCTATTAATTCCACTGACGTCAATGAGATAATCCTTTCCCTTAAAATCAAGTCTGGTGCCCTTGAGGAGATACCAACTTTAATTTACAAAAAAGCCTCCAGATGTTTAGCCCCTGCTATTGCTTTGCTCTTCAACAAGTCACTTGAACTCCAAACCTTCCCAGATATTCTAAAAAAAGCGAGAGTAACGCCTGTCCACAAATGTGGTAATCTCATAGATGTTAACAACTACAGACCTATATCTATCCTGCCAAACTTGTCAAAATTTTTTGAAAAACTAATCTATAAGCAGCTTTACTCATATCTAGCCAAACTCAATATACTTAGCCCTTGCCAATATGGCTTCAGACCCAAAAAAAGCACTAACGATGCACTTATTAGTATGCTTAACTCGATTCATACAGCTCTTGATAAAAATGAGTTCCCTGTTGGGTTGTTTGTGGACCTGCGTAAAGCTTTTGATACTGTCAACCACCAAAACCTTCTTCTTAAATTACATCATTATGGAGTCAGAGGACACTCCCTACAATACCTCAAATCCTACCTTACTGACAGGCTCCAATATGTTTCTGTGAATAATACAATTTCTCCCACCCTACCCATCAACATTGGTGTTCCCCAGGGCAGCATACTTGGCCCTCTCCTCTTTCTCATCTACATTAATGACCTTCCAAATGCCTCACAACACCTCAAACCAATTCTATTTGCTGACGACACAACCTTCATTTACTCCAGTCCTGATCCCCTTGCTCTAAATGCCACAGTAAATACTGAGCTAAATAAAGTCCATCTGTGGCTAACTGCCAACAAACTCACCCTTAACATTGACAAAACCTTCTATATTCTGTTTGGCAATAAATCCTCTAATCAAATAAATCTCAAAATAAACAATACCCAAATTTGTAACAAATTAGATGGCAAATTCCTTGGCATTCTCATTGACCACAAGCTGAATTTCCAGGGACACATACTAAACATATCAAAAAAAGTTTCAAAAACTGTGGGCATTCTTTCTAAGATCAGATATTATGTACCACGCCCTGCCCTGGTGACTCTCTATTACTCCCTTATCTATCCATATCTCAACTATGGTATTTGTGCTTGGGGCTCTACTACCCAAAATCACTTACGTCCTCTAATTACTCAACACAAAGCTGCTATTAGGACAATATCCAATTCTGGCCCCAGACATCACTCGGTACCCCTACTCAAATCTCTGAATTTGTTAGACATTAAGTCACTGCACATTCTCTCATGTGTAGTATACATATATAAAACGCTAAACTATAATGCCAATCCTGATCTCAAAAGCTTCATAGAAGGTTGTAACAGAACCCATGAGCATCACACCAGAAATAAATACAGTTTTGATATTCCTAGAGTACGTCTTAATCAAACTAGAAATGCTCTACAAATCAAGGGGCCCAGAATGTGGAATGACCTTCCCAACCATGTTAAAGACTGTACCTCTCTCAACCAGTTTAAGTTAAAAGCGAAGCTATACCTAATAAATTCCCTGTAACCTACCTTACCCTTCTATTGTCAACCAATGTCTGTGTTTTTTCTTTAAAGAGCGCTGTTTGTCGACATAATTGTATTTGTGCTGCTTTTTCATCTATTTTTTCATTTCTTGTTTTCATTCTACTCATTATGCTCAATTACTGTAGTATTAAGCTTGTCATTTAAGTTTATCATGCCCGAAACGCTTTGCGTAATAGTGGCTTTAGGCATTGTATGTACTAGCTCTACCTATAAGTCTACCAATCCTTGTAAAAATTTATTGTATGTATGTACCTTACCTAAATAAAATTGTATTGTATTGTATTGATTAAGTTCTACTTAGATTACCATAAACACGTGTATAAGATTAGCTGAATGTGGCATCCTCTTTACAAAGTTGCCGTAAAACATTAATTATACACGTGTAAAAAAAAGGGGTGGGGGGGGGGAATCATACGCAAATTCATCATACTCGGGCATACATAGCAAACAGCTCACCCTCAGCTTACATTAATAATGCCCCGTCATACTTATCCCACCCCAACATTAAATGCTCTCCTAGTATCCCGTGCTACTTGCAACTTTTTGTTCTGAGTAGCTGAATCTAAAACAACAACTCCAGGGTCCCACTTATCGCGCGCATTCAAGCCACGCGTTCCTTGTCAAAATTTAGTCTTGTCTATGAATCGACCAATCCCTTCCAAAAGATATATGGCAACACTGGCTTAGTCCTTTATTTTTCACAAATACCTTACCTTGCAGGCGATGAGTCATAATAACGTGGCTAAAGTATGTTGACCAGACCACACACTAGAAGGTGAAGGGACGACGACATTTCGGTCCGTCTTGGACCATTCTCAAGTCGATCAGACGGACCGAAACGTCGTCGTCCCTTCACCTTCTAGTGTGTGGTCTGGTCAACAACCTTACCTTGCCTGTGTCTACAGGTCCTCTGGGAGCATGTTGTATTGGGTGGCCGGGGCGACGGCGGTGGTGGTCTTGGTCATAAGGCTCGTCTACAGGTACCAGTCCGGACGATGTTCCTCCCACAGGAAACTGGTGGGCAAGACGGTCATTGTCACCGGAGCTTCTGCTGGTATGTGAAATGGTTGGACGCATTTGCTACCACCTAATACCTGTTCACCTAACAGTAAGTAGGTACCCAGGAATTAGTCAGCTTGTGTAGCGTTGCATTCTGTGGAGGGTCATTCGTTCGATCTGGGGTAGGGGGACCTCGATATAAGCCTAACATGTATAAATACACTAGCTGTCTGTCCCCCCGACACAATGAATTATTATTATACAATCATTTGCTTTAAGTGAGTATGCTTTTATGAACCATACGCCAGCTTAAACTTCAGTAACTGGTGCAGCAGCACTAGTGATGGATTTCGTAATTTGTAATAATTCAGCGGCTGAATTAGTAGTCGCAGATGTAGTAGTATGAAACTTCTCATGCAAACATCTTGACTTTCCTACCAGGCATCGGGAAGGAGGCGGCGCGAGACTTGGCCCGACGAGGAGCTCGGGTCATCCTCGCCTGCAGGAACATCAACAAAGCACAAAAGGTTGCAGGTTAGTTTAATTCATTTATTAATGCACCCCATACCCATGAGAACTAAACCACACATCTGATGATGAGACGACCACGTTTCAGTCCGTCCTGGACCATTATCATTACCATTATGATAATGGTTCATCTACAGGTAGTCGTTTCGGTCCAGGACGGACCGAAACGTCGTCGTCACCTCATCTTTTGGTGTGTGGTTTAGGTCTCATGTCTTCAAGCCACGTTATTGTGACTCATCGTCTGCCCCCCCCCCATACCCATCTTGTGGGGGGGGGGGAATAGAAAGGGTTACACAGGCACATAATGGGCTCAGGGATTGAACCCCCCACCTTACCTTGAGGTTACCTTGAGGTGCTTCCGGGGCTTAGCGTCCCCGCGGCCCGGTCGTCGACCAGGCCTCCTGGTTGCCGGACTGATCAACCAGGCTGTTGGACGCGGCTGCTCGCAGCCTGACGTATGAGTCACAGCCTGGTTGATCAGGTATCCTTTGGAGGTGCTTATCCAGTTCTCTCTTGAACACTGTGAGGGGTCGGCCAGTTATGCCCCTTATGTGTAGTGGAAGCGTGTTGAACAGTCTCGGACCTCTGATGTTGATAGAGTTCTCTCTCAGAGTACCAGTTGCTCATTTAGCTAAACAAGTTACAATCTTGATGAGCTAGTTACAAAATTCAATGCACATCGTCACATCAACAATACAACAAAATTATTAATGATGGTAACAGGTTGTAGGTAAAACAAATTTTGCATATCAAACTATTGCAAAAGAATTCAAAGAGCAACAAACTAATTGATCTGAACAAGGCTGTTCGTTTACGCAAAGTTCAAGTTGTACAAACAATGTAAGGACTTAGGACTATACGATGACTATTGTATGATGATGCATGTATTTTGTCTATCGTGAGAAATAGGTCGGTTAACTGTATCTTATCGCAGCTCTTAACTTGTATATCAAGGGGGCTAGGAATGTAAGAACAACTTTAATACTTCCGAACTTGACCCATAATTTTAAGGGATTTTTCAATCATGGTTTTATCACTTATATATCTTTTGATTGACCTCAGACTGCAGAACTATATATATGTTCTGGTGTTTGCTGATAGCAGTTACGATCCCGGATCCAATATTGCACTGTCTGATGGATCCAGGATCGTTCCATGTTTATCCATGGTATAGGATCCACGTTCCATATTTATCCACAGTACAGGATCCACGTTCCATATTTATCTACGGTACAGGATCCACGTTCCTTATTTATCTACGGTACAGGATCCACGTTTCTTATTTATCTACGGTACAGGATCCACGTTCCATATTTATCTACGGTACATGATCCACGTTCCTCATTTATCTACGGTACAGGATCCACGTTCCATATTTATCTACGGCACAGGATCTACGTTCCATATTTATCCACGGTACAGGATCCACGTTCCATATTTATTCTTTCATGAAATTGAATAGTTTATGTCGACTTTCAGATGACATCATGAGGACTACAGGGAACAGGAAGGTGGTAGTACGTAAGCTGGACACGTCCGACCTGGCCTCCGTCAGGAGGTTTGCGCGAGGCATCCTTGCTACAGAAACTGCTCTCCATGTCCTGGTGAGCAACCAGCGGTTTGACTCGAGACATCCGAGTCAAACCGATAGTAATTGTGAAAAACTTTCACCAAAAAATTTGATAGTGAAAAACTTTCACTATCGTACATTTTTTGGGTTTATTGACGAATTTTTGTGCTGATTTTACCTGAGGACCACTAACACTCTTGTGGCCTCGATGAGGACAGGATGCCGACGGCTTATCAAAGGTCTTCCCCCCCCCCCCCTACCCATTTGTCCTGATGATTTTTTCAAGCTGGATTTTAAAGCTGAGCAGTTTTGGTATTTATGACTTCGGCGGGTAGGCGGTTCCATGGGTTTATAGCCATGTGTTTGAAAGAGCCTCTCCTGTTCTCAGTCCTAAATTGAGGCTTGTTGAGCTTGAAACCATTGCTCCTTGTTTGTTTTACATCTAAACCTTTGAAGAAGTTGTCTGGATCAACAGATTCCAAATTGTTCAATATTTTAACGTTTCGATGAGATCAACCGTGTCATGTCTGGTTTGCACTGTTTAATGTAACAAACATTAACCTAGGTATACAAACATTTCTTTGCAAAACTCTAAGCCTCTATAATACTTACTGTCTGATTGCTAACTAAACTAAACAAGTCATAACCCTTAAAATTAACTACCTATGGCTTACTAAAGGGATGCTTAAATCAATCAATAAATCATGAACATGAAGAATTGTCTAAGGTATTTTTCAATGCTAGCTAAGATAATAAAAGAAGATCCAAAACAAGGTACTATGAAAATAAATTTAATTGATTAATGGATGTGACGATAATCTCCTTCAAGAGATTGAGCCTGCTCTTCCCTCCAAAATTACGTCTTCACAATTATATAAAAGACTATGGAAGAAATGTCCAACAACAACACCAGCACCAGCAAGGCTTGCAAGGGTGAGCAGAAACGTATGCAGCCCGCCACCTGTTCGGACCCAAATCACCAAACTACCCGTTGATCGCTACGGCTCCGCTGATTGGTCGCCGGTCTGGCTGCACCTGCACTCGCCCCCCAATACTACCTGATGTCTGGGGTCGCCCAACATCAGTCTTCAGAATGTTCCGTGCTTTCGTAGCCAGCACACCTCCCAGCTAGACTCTAGAGTGTACTGAGAGAGGTGGTGGCTTTAAGCCAATATTCCAGCACCTCCCACTTACCTTTTGTGTTGCACTTCTTGTTATTTTGCCTTAACGTAACTTTTCATTGTGTCATTTAAGAATTCTTATTATTTTGATTCATTGATTTTATTATAAGTATTTGTTTGTCCATATTTTCATGTTTTGATTTATTTAACGTAATTAAAATTTCATTGTTAAAGTTTTACTTGTGTTTTGTGTGTCTTCTCCTTACCTTACCACAGACGAAGTTCCAGTTTTTCTATTTTTTTTTATAACTATGTGACGAGGCCATACCCCTAGCCTTAAACAGCCGAACACCAACGCGTTACCGTCACAAGTTATATGGGGGCCTGTCCTAGGAGCTTCACTCAGGTACTGGTGCTAAGTGGTAATTTATGGTAAGCGTATTTAACTCTGTTAACGTAGCTTTACTATTTTTCATTCAATTTCATTTTTTATAAGGTGCGGTGTATTGTGCATTACGAGAGTAACATATAGTGAAGGTGAGACAACTTTGGATTACGTGGTGACTGTAGGCCTCAGTCATACTCTTAATTGGTCATCTCTCCCTCCATGTTATTACTCGTATTTACCATCTATGTCCCTTGAATATTTCTCATTCTGACAGATCATCATATTGGTACCCTGGTACTGTGGTCTGCCCCGGGTCAAGAGTACCCAATCTTCTGCAATCTGACTGTAGGAGGACAAAGAGGGCCATAGTTCCTCTAGCTCGAACTTTAGTTGCTGAATTGGGACCTCAGCAGCAGTTCTCGTCACCAGTTGACACCTCGCACCCCTACACGTCAGTCAGAGATGATGATACATACAACGGTAGGGAATTAGCTTATTTTTTCAGAGCACAAAAGTTCGCTAATTCTGTAAGTATCATATTAAATTCAGTAGGAAAAACTTGCTTTATGTCCTATAGAGACTTGGCAAGGTATGCCTACATCCTTGGACTACCAATTTTACTTTTGAAGCATTTAACTGTTTCATTTGTTTTCGAAACTTTGTTTCATTTGTTAGTAGGATTTTCTTGCCCTTATTCTCTTACATGAGTACCGGGTACAAGATTTCCTGCGCCCTTGATTTAATTTAATCATTTAATATCTTTCACTTAACGTTAATTGTTAAAGATCACACAGGATAGGTACCAGTTGCCACGTTGTCCTGTTTCTGACATTTCATTATTGAACATTCGTGTACCTTTATTTGCTAATTTCACCATGTTTCGTCTCCAAACTTTCCGTGCAAATCCAGCAGGTGAAATAGGGACTTTAAGTCGTGCCAAGAGGACTGAACTACAAACTCTTGCACATGAGTATCAACTAGAAGTTCCCTACCAAGCCAACAAAAATGACCTACACAACCTGTTGCTGGATTACTATTTAGAGCAAGGTAAGATAGACTCTGAAACTCATGAAACTTACTATATTGCAGATAAAACTGATTTGGCAACGCTGAAACTCAAACTAGAGCTGGCCAAGATTGAACGTGAGCAGCAAAGGGAAGCCCGCGAACAGCAAAGGGAAGCAGCTGACATACGAAGGGAAGAAATCACCCTCAGAGAACGTGAAGCTGCCTTGAGGAGAGAAGAACACGAACGTGGACTCGCCCTCCAGGAACGTGAGGTTGCACTACTCCAGGAGCGGGAACGAGTACAGCTTGAAACCAAACGACGCGAGTTGGAGATGCAACGCGAACATGACAAGCAACAAGCGACTCTGGCTCTAGAGTGTCGTCAACGGGAATACACGTTGGAAACTTCACACCTCGCTCAACGCCAGCAAGCTACTGCCAATCTTCCCGTCAGTTTTAATATATCACATGCAAGTAAGTTAATGCCATCCTTTGTAGAAGCAGAAGTTGATGTGTTCTTTACCACCTTTGAAACCCTTGCTAATCAACTCAGTTGGCCTGTCGACCAATGGGCAACACTTCTCAGAGTCCATCTTACAGGTAGAGCTGCAGTCACACTCAGTACTTTGGCGTCTGAGAATGACTACTACACTCTGAAACAAGCAGTGTTGGACGCCTACCTCCTCTCTACTGAAAGTTATAGAAGGAAATTTCGTGACCACCTGAAGGCAAGTACCACTACCTTCCTTGAGTTTGCTAACACGAAACGGAGGTATTTCATGAAATGGCTGGAAGCAGCACATGTCTCTACTTTTACAGAACTCGTCAACCTGATGCTTGTTGAAGAATTCTTGAGACGTGTGCCGCCTCCTGTCCGCCTCTACTTAGCAGATAAAGAAGAAACCGACTACCTGAAGTGTGCTAAGTCGGCTGACACTTACAGCCTCATCCACCGGCTGACACCTGAACCATCCTCCAGTAAGAAGTCGTGGTACAGTTACGAGAAGGTGAGCCCCGATCAAGCTGGTTCACAACTGTACTGCAAGTATTGTAGACTCTATGGACATACCATAGACAAGTGTGGTAAGTCTCAATACAAGGGAACCACTGACCAACAACGACCCAAACCAACTCCTCCTAAGTCCGGTAAGCCTGTGATGAATGTTGGTGTTGATGTTAATGATCTTTCTCTTTTCAGTAACCACCTGTATACTGGAACTGTCTCTGCCAACGGTTCAAATCCGGAGGGACGTTTCAAATTGAAGATCTTGAGGGACACAGCGGCTCTACAATCGATCATCTTGAAGTCGGCTGTGCCCAACATAGTCTACACCGGGGAAACGGTCTTCATCACTGACCTCACTGCTACTACTCCATACCCTCTCGCCAGAGTCCACCTGGATTGTCCCTACGTGAACGGGGAAGTCCAAGTCGCCGTCAGGGAAAAGCCTTTTCCCATGCCTGGAGTGCAACTTCTCCTAGGCAACGACTTGGCAGAAGACCTGCAACCAACCAACCTGATCGTCATGGACAAACCCCAGGTGTGTAACTCTGTGCCAAGTAACCCTATTCTTGAGTATGTTCCAGCAGAGGTTCAAGAGAGTGATGAAGTTTCTCCTCCGGTTCTCGTGACCACCCGTGCACAAGCCGCACGTCCACAGCCAGCTGACTCTACTGCTACCGCTGTCCCTCAAGACCCTCAGAAACTACCCCCGCATCTGACCAAGTTGGAGTTCCGTAAGTTGCAGAGGGAAGATCTTACTTTAACACCATTGTTTTTCCAGGCTGAGACTCAACCCGACAGTATTCCTGGGTTCTTCCTAGAGAACGACTTGCTCTACCGCAGATATAGACCCAGTAAACTGAAGGAGGAGGACGATTGGGCCAACACCGAACAACTTGTGATTCCCACCAGCCTGCGGCCCACTATTCTACACCTGGCCCACGGAGCATTCTCCCACTACGGCTTCAACAAGACTTACCATGGGATTCGTCAAGACTACTACTGGCCAGGTATGGTAAACAACGTCAAACAGTACGTAAAACAGTGTCATACATGTCAGAGGGCAGGCAAACCGAACGTCTCCATTCCCAGAGCACCACTGATTCCCATACAGGTGCCTGCGGAACCTTTCCACAGACTCATAATAGACTGTGTTGGTCCTTTACCTCGGACCAGTTCAGGTAACGCCTACATCCTAACCATCCTGTGTCCTACCACCAGATTTCCCATAGCAGTTCCAGTGAAGAACATCACGGCTGCTACGGTTATCAAACATCTATTGAAGATCTTCACTCAATACGGATTTCCCAGGGAGATTCAAAGTGACTGTGGCACCAACTTCACCAGTGATCTCTTCAAAAGGACACTGGAGGAGTTCAACATCAAACAGGTATTGTCCAGCCCCTATCATCCTGCTTCACAGGGTTCTCTTGAACGTAGTCATCAGACCATCAAAGCACTCTTGAAAAAGTTTTGTAGTGAAACCTCAAAGGATTGGGATAAGCAGATTGACCTAATAATGTGTATTTTCAGAAGTCTCCCCAATGAGTCCCTAGGAGTATCTCCTTATGAGATGCTCTACGGCCGTAAGTGCCGTACTCCCCTTAAGGCTTTCAAAGACTCTCTCAGAGATGCCACCTTCAGTGAGCATCAGAATGTGCCCCAGTTTCTTCAAAACCTTCAGCACATTCTAGAGAGAGTCCACCGCTTTGCCCATGATAATCTATTGAAAGCCCAGGTGAGAATGAAGACTCATTACGACCAGACCAGCAAAGTAAGAAAATTCAAGCCGGGAGACTTCGTCCTTGCTTATTTCCCTATCCCAGGTTCACCTTTACAAAACAGATTTTCAGGACCCTACTGCGTCAAAGAGTGCAGGAATAATAATAATTATGTGATAGAGACTCCAGATAGGCGGCGGAAGACCCAGCTGTGCCACGTCAACCTCCTGAAGCAATATAATGGTACTCCTCCCACTGTCTTGACTAATTATTCCACATTCACAGAACCCTACATCCACAGTGAGACCTTCCCAGCTTCTTCTCCCGAAAGCACTGACAAGGAGTCGGCGCTTTCTAATTCCAAAATCCTTAATGATCTTCCCAAATGCTTTCAGGATAATAATCGTGCTCCTATGCCCTCTTCTAATTCCACTCTCACCTCGTCAGATAAGCCCTTCATCCTCCATGTCGACGCCAATGGTACCGACGTGGGTGGTGTCGTGATGCAGCAACGAGGCGAGAAGAATACACCTGTCAGCGACTACTGCTACAAGGAACGACGGAACAATTGGCAAGGAGCTACTCTTCCTCATCCTGAAGCTTCAGCACTTCACTCCACACCTGAAAAGTGCTCGGTCCACCATCAATACGGACCACACCACCCTACACCTCCTGCAGCACGCCCACTTCTCATCTCAACGTCTTCTACTATGGGCTTGCTACCTGCAGAAATTCAACCTGGAGACACGCTATACCAAGAGTCTGACAACATCTTAGCCCATGATCTCTCCAGAGTTTATGAAGTAGAAGCGACTCCATCCATTACTCCACCACATAACGACGTACTTCTTCCAGAACCGCAGGCTTCGGGGGAGAGTTGTGACGATAATCTCCTTCAAGAGATTGAGCCTGCTCTTCCCTCCAAAATTACGTCTTCACAATTATATAAAAGACTATGGAAGAAATGTCCAACAACAACACCAGCACCAGCAAGGCTTGCAAGGGTGAGCAGAAACGTATGCAGCCCGCCACCTGTTCGGACCCAAATCACCAAACTACCCGTTGATCGCTACGGCTCCGCTGATTGGTCGCCGGTCTGGCTGCACCTGCACTCGCCCCCCAATACTACCTGATGTCTGGGGTCGCCCAACATCAGTCTTCAGAATGTTCCGTGCTTTCGTAGCCAGCACACCTCCCAGCTAGACTCTAGAGTGTACTGAGAGAGGTGGTGGCTTTAAGCCAATATTCCAGCACCTCCCACTTACCTTTTGTGTTGCACTTCTTGTTATTTTGCCTTAACGTAACTTTTCATTGTGTCATTTAAGAATTCTTATTATTTTGATTCATTGATTTTATTATAAGTATTTGTTTGTCCATATTTTCATGTTTTGATTTATTTAACGTAATTAAAATTTCATTGTTAAAGTTTTACTTGTGTTTTGTGTGTCTTCTCCTTACCTTACCACAGACGAAGTTCCAGTTTTTCTATTTTTTTTTATAACTATGTGACGAGGCCATACCCCTAGCCTTAAACAGCCGAACACCAACGCGTTACCGTCACATGGATAATACGAAAACAAAAATATGGAACACTATTTCCCCAGGTATTAGAATCAAAGAACTTGAATAAAAATTAATATCAGTAGCTGGTAATGGTGGAATGCTATCAGTCACTGACACTGCTACTAAATTCAATAGTTTCTTCTCATTCATTGCAAACGTGATCCCAGTATCCCTAACTAATGTAAATAACTACTTCTCAGGCACCTATCCCGATTCTCTATACCAATCCCTAATAAATTTAGATAGATAAGATTAATGTTTATTCCGGTAAAAGTACATACATTCAAAATGAGTTAACAAACATAATGCTGGATTTCTAGATAGAGCTAGTACATACTATACCTAAAGCAACTAATACTATATGCATAGCGTTTCAGGTAAATTTCTCAGATATTAAAGATGTAATCCTCTCACTTTCATCTAAATCAAGTAACCTTTCATAGATACCATCCCTAATTTATAACTTTAGCTTTAAGTTTTTTAATTCCTGCCATAGCATTGCTCTACAACAAATCACTTGAACTCCAAGCGCTACACAAGTCTTCCTGGCTTGGCCTTGTCTTTTGATAATTACTCACTACTTGAACTCTGAACCTTCCCTGATATTTTTAGAAAAGCTAGAGTAATCCGTATCCATAATACTTGTAATCTTTCTGATGACACAAAACGTCATTTTCTCCCATGTTAACTCACTTATTCTAAATGTCACCTGAATTTACCCGAGGGCCACTAACACTCTAGTGGCCTTGACGAGGAGAGGAAGGCGACGGCTTGTCTAAGGTTCCCCCCATTTGTCCTAATGATATTTTCCAGCTAAATTTTAAAATTAAACAGTGTTTTGGCATTTACGGCTTCGGTGAGTAGACGGTTCCATGGGTTTATAACCCTGTGGGTAAAAAGGCATCTCCTGTTTTCTGTCCTACATTGTGGCCTAATGTTTCTGTTCACCTAGCAGTAAATAGGTACCCGGGAGTTAGGCAACCCATTCTGGGGCTTCATCTTGGGAAGGGTCAGTAGTTCCACCTTGGAGACCTCGACACAAATTATGATTATTATATATAATATATAATTATGATTATTATTACAATCATAAAGTATGATTATATATATATATATATATATATATATATATATATATATATATATATATATATATATATATATATATATATATATAATCATACTTTATGATTGTATTGATTAATAATAATCATATATACATACATACACACACACACACACACACACACACACACACACACACAGTACAGGCTTCTTGTCCCCAAACAAAACAAATTATTAATATGTATGCTAGTTGGATCTATATGCTCTCGACAGGTGAATAATGCAGGAATATATGGCATGTCGGAGAAGAAACTGACAGCAGATGGTCTGGAGCTGACAATGGCCACCAACCATTTTGGACACTTCCTTCTCACCAATATGCTGCTGGGTAAGTCAGCTCAGAGTGAGCTCCTTGGATTATTAACTAATCTCAAAATTCTTTTAGGCATTGGACACAAAGGTATATAGGCAGCTAGAATTCTAATATTTTAAAATTTTGATATTTCTGTCTTCATTTCTGGAAGAAAGTTTTCTTCCAAGGTATCGTTAGAAATATTATACCTGTTCGAGCAGGAATTTCTAATAACTTCATCTCAGTACTATATAGAGCAAGAAAAAATTATACAAATTGGATATGTTCATTGGATGAAGATTGGATAAGTTTAGAAGTTATAATAAAACCATGTATCATAGTTATAATAAAACCATGTATCATAGTTATAATAAAACCATGTATCATAGTTATAATAAAACCATGTATCATAATCAATTGTATGCAATTGGAGACCTACAGTATGGTACAGAGTCGGCAGGGAATATTTACCGGGTGTTGGGGTTGATACAAATCTCTGAGCACACAGTTCCCGGGCAATCTATCGCCGTATTGCATTACCATTGTCGATTATTAAAACTTGCGATAAATCCCCAGGGCTGCTGAAGGCTAGTGCTCCGAGCCGGGTCGTCAATGTTTCGTCCATGTTACATAGGCTTTACACATCGCTTGATCCAGATGACCTTAACTATGAGAAGAAACCATACCCCGGCGCCAACAGCGCTTACAGCAACAGCAAGCTGGCTAATGTCCTCTTCACAAGGGAACTTTCTCGGAAGATCCGTAGCACAGGTTAGTTCTGACAACAACGTTAAGCGAAGAATTACCTTTTGTTTCTAGATGATTTATCACACTAATGGTGTCTGTTTATTCATCTCTCCATGTACAGGTGTGACGTCGAACAGTGTGCACCCAGGAGTGGTGCTGACGGATATCATGTTTAAGGAGGGAGCCAACAAGATCTTGGGCTACGTTTGTGCTTGTATCATCTGGCTCCTAGCTAAAGTATTTATTTATAACGTTTTTGATTGCTAAAGGATTTAATTTTAGCGTTAACTCTAAATTATACCCTTTCAGTGTTTTTATATGAGATTCATTGATGTTACATCAATAGGATAGGCTTCTATGCATGTTATAAATCGTGATTTTTAAACAAAAATTCAAATGAACCTCTCATTAACACTGGCTGAATTAGTGCATGTTGAGGCTTCTGATTTCTTAGCTCTAGAAGACATCTTAGTGTTCAACTGCTAATTTTTCTAAGGATGCTGAACTTGGTGCCCAGACGTTGATCTACCTGGCGGTGTCGGAAGACGTAAATGGTATTAGCGGAAAGTACTTCGTTGACTGTCAAGTGAGTTGATAAATGATGTGCAGAGGTTTATCTCTGCAATAAGGAGAGAAAATGTATTTATATTTGTTCTGATATACTGTACTGTATTACATATAGCTGCGTTATTATATACTTTTATCATATTTTGTATTCATCTATATCTATAAAAGAAGATGCTTCTGTTTGTTTGCTTGAATGTTGGAGACAAGATACTTTGCAAAGTGACTGGTGGGTGTTGAGACGGTCAAAGGCAAATCAAAATCAACCCCATGCCTCCTCTAGAGGAAGAGTCAGCCCACATCATCAAGTGGTGGAGACGAAATGCTCTCCTTCAACATCAGCGGAGAGTCGGCTGATGGTGAAGGAGAGATCGGGGCAAAGTCTATAGTTTCATCATTTGTTCATTAATGAACAAATGAAAGTGGTTCATCAATTCATTGGTTCCCAACACTAACACTAGGGTCCAAGTAGTACACTCGGGTTCATTCTCGACTCACAATTGCGAATTCCAGGTTCGAATCACGGACGGGACAGAAATAGTTAGGCGCGTTTCTTATCACCCAATGCCTCTGTTCACCTAGCATTAATTAGGTACTCAGGAGTTAAGCTTCTTGTAGGATTGCATCCTGGGGCGGGTCAGTTATTTGACCTTCGGGGAAGAGGGGCTCAATATAAGCCTAACATGTATATATATTACACTGGCTGCCTGTCCAACCCATCTTCCTAAGGTTTCCCAACATCAAGAAACTGTTGTACTAAAGTGACCTTATTCTAACCTACCAGAGGACCCAAAATAGAAAAAGGGACAGTATTGTATGTCAATTTCACGAGCTGCTACCATTTTCTAATACAACGATTTTTGACCTTAGGTAGAGTATAAGTCAAAATGCGACGTTTTATTAGGAGGAAGGGTTATCTTCTTTAGGTTATCTTGAGATGATTTCGGGGCTTTTTAAGTGTCCCCGCGGCCCGGTCCTCGACCAGGCCTCCACCCCCAAGAAGCAGCCCGTGACAGCTGACTAACACCCAGGTACCTAATTTACTGCTAGGTAACAGGGGCATAGGGTGAAAGAAACTGTGCCCATTGTTTCTCGCCGGCAGCTGGGATCGAACCCAGGACCACAGGATCACAAGTCCCGTGTGCTGTCCGACCGGCTCCCCTGCCTCCCGACACAATTAATTATTTATATAAATTCTTTAAAAGCATAACCTGTTTGGGGTCGAAGGAATAGGAAGGGGGGGTTAAGGAAATAGAAGATAATGTAGGAAATGGAAGCTAAAGGTTAGAGAAGGTGGTGAAGGGTAGGGAAGGTAGTGAAGGGGTAGGGCTGATGATGAGAAAAGGTAGTGAAGGATAGGGAAGGGAATGAAGGATAGGGAAGATGGCAGTGTATAGAAGTGGAGGAGAGGAAAGATTGCAAAAAAAAAGTTAACGTGGTGAAGGAGAGGGAACACGGTGAATGGTAGGGAAGTTAATGAATAGAAAGGCAGGTGGTGAAGGGAAGGGATGGGAAGGTGGTGAAGGATAGGAAGGTGATAAAGGATAGAAAAGATAGTAAAGGATAAGGAAGGGGATGCAGGAGACATTAGGTTGCGATGATGATGGTTGCAGATGGAGTACCCAGCGGTGTCCGGGCAGTGAAGATGGTTACATTGATGAAGACTTGTGTCTAATGAAGATGGTTACAGTGATGAGAGTCGTGTGCAGTTCAGGTGGTTACAGTTAGGAAGATAGTGTTATAGTAAAGATGGTCGTTCAGTGATGAAGATCGTGTGAAGTGTAAATGGTTATAGCAATGAAGGTCGTATGTAGTGAAGATGTGGCCTTCGTTACCCGATCAATGCCATGTACGCCAGCTAGTATGTTATAAAAAAAAAACTCAGACAATATATCTTTTATGTCTCTCTATGTCAAACATGTAATGGTTAGCGATGTGCTCTATTTATCTTTGGTCTGTGTATTTGTAGACAGTAATAAGCTAGGGATTTGTCGTTACTGCCACGTGCATGAAAGTAAAAAAATCAGCGTTGAATGTAATGAAACGCCATTTTCTGGGTGAGACCCGGAGGCTCCCCGGAGCTTTACCGGCTGATATGCTAATGTCAGACTTTGGCATCAGTCATGTGTATGGAGTTCTAGGGCCTACCGGGGACCACGAGCCAGAACCTGGCCCCCTCAGAGAGGCAAGGGGAGCAATGGCCTATAGAAACCCCCGTGTGGTTGGAAGCATTCTATGTCTGCCATCGACCGGGTCAAGCATCCAGAAAGGTAAGCAATCCAAAACAAAACCCTATTCTGGTGAAAATTGCTACCTAAGCCGAACTAGTGGATAGAACTCTTCAACAGAAAACAAGGAAACTAGTATGACGTCATACGTCACCGCGCCGCTGTCTGCGCAGCTCCCCCCTCCCCGGGAGGGGGAAGGGGGAGCCCCAGACCTCCCACGCCGGCTATCCACCCATCAGTTCTGAGGCTGGATGTCAAAACACGCAAAAAACGCCGACCGGAGGGAGGGAGGGTTGCCGGGGAGCCTCCGGGTCTCACCCAGAAAATGGCGTTTCATTACATTCAACGCTGGTTTTCTGGCGGGAGCCCCGTCGGCTCCCCGGAGCTAACTACCCACAGAGGAAGGTCAAAGGGACAAAACCGGGAGGCGGACACCACGCACCCCCCAAGGAGGCGAGACAACCGGCAGCAAACGCCAACCCAAGGCGCCACAGCCCCGAAAATCCCGGGAACAACACGAGAACCACGAGCAGCAAGGCCCCTGCACGAACACCAAAAATCCATGCCCGAAAGACTGCAAGGCCACGTCGCCCAGACGGCAGCGAGAGCAGCGAAGCCACGAATGCCACAGGCATGAGGGAAGAACACAGGCAGCTTAGCCGCAAGAACACGGTTGACCACCCGGGACACCATCACCCGCGAACCGGGAAGAACAGAACCGGATCAACGCAAAACGCGCTCCGGACCCAAACGCCGTGGCACGCAAACAACAGCGGAGGGCCGCCACTGAACACAAAAACGACACACCCCCGGCCCGACCAACGAAGCACCAACAAACCCTGGACCCCTCCAGAATGCAGCAGCCCCACCCCGCGCCAGAAAAGATGGAGACTGCTGCCATCAAACAACCAAAACGCTAAAACCGAAGGAGCAAGAAAACTCAGCGAACCGACCCCCAGAGGCAAAGGCCCAAAGGAAAGAGCCGACGAAAAAACACACCGGAACCGAAGGGGCACTACCAACCGAGGAGAAGATAGAGCACGCTGACCAGAGACCAGGATGGTGCAAGCGGCGCACGAACAGGCCGGAGGTGAAACGACGCACAAGACAGCTGACTAACGGTGCAGAAGCAACACCAAGACCGAAAGCAAGCTGAAGCGGCTCCGCCTGCGCCGCACGAAAAGAGGCGACAGTATGTGGCAAGACGACGGCCCCCAACCCCCACTAGAAAACCAAGCCGAGAGTAAACCAAGCTAACAAGAGTAACCACCTAAGAAGGGACAGGAAAAGGAAGGACCGCCAAAATACCCATACTGCCGCCAAGAGAAGCACGCAGGTGGGACACCTACCACGAAGCCACCCGACCACCAACCGGAGGCGAGACCACGAGGCAGAACATAAGCAGCCCCGACAAGGCCCCCCCGAGCCCAGGAAAAAGGCGGAGCCGCGAGAAGATCTCGGGCGCGACCACCGAAACCCAGGCGGCACAAGGAGATGGAACGTCTGCCGAACAGAAAAACTCCCCAAAGCATGCAAGCCCGCCAGGAGTTCAGAAACGACGGGTCCGACGCGAGACATCGCAAGAACCCCCCCCCCCCCCAAAAAAAAAAAACAACAACCGGCAGGGCAAGCTAGGAAAACCAAAGAAGGCGGAAGGGTCGCCGCCAGAACAGGACCCGAACCAAGGGGCACGAACAACTGCAATAGACCGAGACAAAGAAGCACATCACAGGACACAGACTGACCAACGCCTAAGAACACACGCAGAACATCCCTGCTGCAGAGGAGGCAGGAAGAAAGAGCAGAAGCACAAAAAAAACCAGAACAACCAGGGGTGGACAATCAGGCAGGGACAAAAACCCCACGCAATCCCCAGGCACAAAACGGCAGCAAAGTGCCACTCCACAACCGGACACAGGAACAAGGACACGCCACCGTGAAACACGGTACCAATGCACACGTGCAGCAGCAGCAACAGGCACCACTGCAACATGCAACATGTAAATAGCAACTCCCCTCTGCAAAGGCAGAGAACGGAGCAGGCAGACCCCAGACAGGGCCAACGGAGACACGACAAAACCCTGCAGGCCCAGAAACCTGCACCAGGCGACCGACGGCGGAGAAACCCCGCTCGATACCTGCTGGATGAGGTACTGGGAGCTCTTTTACACCTGAAGCCCGGCCCAAGGTCAGGCCAGACCGGCCAGAGGATGGCCCACCAGGCAGCTGCTAGGAGCAGTCCACCGGCCCACATACCCCCACAACCAGGACGGGCCGGAACTGCCATACGAAAACAGGCCAGTGCGCCCTGGAAGTCCACGGACGAACCAGCAAGAAGGCTTATGCTCGCAAGTAGGTCGTGTAACAAGCACAGACCACTGATGGTAATACAGTGTTCCCCAAAAGTGCCAATAGCACCACTGCACTCCACTGGTACTATCCCGCAAGTTCTACCAGATAGGCGGGACCCAAGAGCCAGAGCTCAAATCCTGCAAGCACAGCCAGGAGCCTCACCAGGTGAGTACAGAACCAACCCTACAACCCCCACACCTCACAACATTAAAAAAGGAGGGTCCCCTGAATGACTCCAGCATGGGTTGGACATGCACATGAGGGGGACAGGAAGGGGTGATAAAGGGACAGTCACTGGTGTGCGAACGGTCTCAGTCGTACAAAAATATACCTAAATAAAGACAGGTATATAAACACCGCCGCATCCAGCGCCCGGCCAAAAGACGCCAGACCGCAGAAACTCACCTGGCGAATGGTGGCACGAACTTGACACGACTCAACCGTGCCCAGAAGAACTTGGGAGCACCGCCAGGTGAAGACGCCAGAGCCGGACCCTGCCGGACCCGCAGGAGAGCAGGGAGAGGCGAAGGAGGCGGTCCACACCCATGACACAGGGAAAACCGCGGTGTCCTCCCCACAACTGGGAACCAGGACACCCCCGGCGCGAAGGGGCACATACCGCAGCCAGGGAGAAGAACGAGAGGCGAAGCACTGTAGCAAAAAAGGGCGCAAAACCCCAGCACTGAAACACCGCCCAGACCAAAACAAACTCCACGGCGCATGCGCATAACACGCTGGCCGAACCGCACACCCTCCCTGCGGGAAGGCGCCAGCCAGGACTACTGCACGAGAAAAGTAGCCAAAAGAGGAAGCAGGAACAATAAAACCGGCCAAAGAAGCAAAGAGCCCAAAAAGGAACCCAACCGGGCGACAAGTAGCCCAACCGGGCGACAAGTAGCCCAACCGGGCGACAAGTAGCCCAACCGGGCGACAAGTAGCCCAACAGGGCGACAAGTACGAGGAGCCGACAGACGTTCCAATAATGCGGGAAGTAGCGAAAAACCTTCCCGTACCCTCGAGAACACAGAAGCCAACACTAGTCCCGAAGGCACACGAAGGCGCAGGCGCACCCGAGATCAGAAGTCACGCAGAACCCCATCGAACGGGGAAACATGACAAAAACACCGTCCCAAAAAGGGGGGGAGGAAACATCCACCCACAGGACGGAACCAACCGACTCAAAGGCCAAGGAACCGAGCCCGGGGAGGGGCCGACGTCCAACAGCACGTACGGCGAGTGGGGAGAAAAGACCCCACTCCGCGTAACCACAAGCCCCGCCTAGAGGGGGATAAAAACCCCCACGGGGTCTAACGGGGCCAAGGCCCCCCCAAGTCAGCCCCTCCCCAGCCCCGGGGCCGAGCCGTTCCCCCAAAGCCCCGGCCGTACCAGAAAACCGGGGCAGCCGTGAAAACACTAAGGAAGGGAGCCCACTGGCAGACTCATACAACACGGCTGGAGGAACAGGCCCAAATGCCCCCGTCACTACCCCGGAAGGGGAATTCCCCGAGACTGCCCGAGTCTCAACACCACCAAAAACCCCGCCCCGAACCTACAGACGGTAAGGAACCGGATGCAGGCAGGAAGGGTGAACCAGGGGAAAGACAAGGGGGCGTGGATGGAACCGAAGCAACCAACACCCCCAAGTCCCAAAACGAACTACAACGGGGCAGCCCCGGGGCTCCCGGGGAGGAAACCACGAGAACGTTGCCACCACCAAGGCTCAAGTGCAACGCCCCTGCTGCCCGCACCCGCTTTGTTAGCACAACTGGGTAACCGAGCCACAACGAGCAACCAAACTCGCAGGACTCCGGGTCGAAGGTGTCACCGACCCCACAGGCAGCAGACGGAGGCAAAACAGAGAGTCACCCAGAGACAAAAGGTGAGAGCAACCCTCAAACTCGCTGGAAGCGAGGGGGGGGGACTCTGGGGTCACATCCATCGGACCCGCGCGCCCCCAGGGGTTTCCCAGGGTCCCGAGCGTTTACTTTAAGAGGACTCGCGCTCAGGTAATCCCAGGCAGGGTACTGCTAACCGGCACCCAAAGCTACCAAACAACTTTCTAAGAGCTGAACCCCCGGGACGTGTACACTCACGGGGACCTAGCAGGGGGTACCACCAGAAAATACTCAGAACACAAGGGACACAAGGCAAGAACGAAGGCAGACCCCCCCACCAGGTAGATAAACAAAAAGAAAAAGAAAACCCCACAAGAGGACAGCGTACCCAAGCGGAACAGAGCCGGCCGCTATGATTGGTAAAGACAAGCTGCACAGTACCCCGCGCCCCACCAGTGCAAACACTGCCCCTTACTCTAAGGCGAACAAGGGAGACAGAACACCCGAGCACACAAAGAGCGGCCGAAAACCAAGCAGTAAACGGCCAAGCAGGGGCAGGACCCAAGGAACTTGTGGAAGGTGGCCCCAAGCCCCAAGGGCAGTACTTACAGGGCACCTAGGGAAGGGAACCCTAGGCGCATGCAGCCCGAGTACTGAAGAATCACTCCCGGCTCACGCACCACCTAGAAAACAGACACCACACTCTAGGTACAGTGCTGAAACAACCACTGGAGCCGGAGCACATAACCATTGCCTATAGCATCAGCCGAAGAACTGATGGGTGGATAGCCGGCGTGGGAGGTCTGGGGCTCCCCCTTCCCCCTCCCGGGGAGGGGGGAGCTGCGCAGACAGCGGCGCGGTGACGTATGACGTCATACTAGTTTCCTTGTTTTCTGTTGAAGAGTTCTATCCACTAGTTCGGCTTAGGTAGCAATTTTCACCAGAATAGGGGTTTGTTTTGGAATGCTTACCTTTCTGGATGCTTGACCCGGTCGATGGCAGACATAGAATGCTTCCAACCACACGGGGGTTTCTATAGGCCATTGCTCCCCTTGCCTCTCTGAGGGGGCCAGGTTCTGGCTCGTGGTCCCCGGTAGGCCCTAGAACTCCATACACATGACTGATGCCAAAGTCTGACATTAGCATATCAGCCGGTAAAGCTCCGGGGAGCCGACGGGGCTCCCCCCAGAAATTAAGCCTTGGTTCTAAAATAGAAAACTATCACCTGAGGACAGCATAAAAAACATTGCGCGAGGAGCCTATGCTACGCTTTCCAATTTCAGAATTGCTTTTAAATAAATGGATGGTGAAATACTAAAGAAAATGTTCATAACCTTTGTGAAACTAAAGCTGGAACATGCAGCAGTTTTACGGTGTCCATATCTTAAGAAGTACATAACAAACTGGAAAAGGTGCAAAGACATGTAACTAAATGGCTCCTGGAACTGAAGGACAAGAACTGAAAGGAGATGTTAAAGGCATTATATATGCCAAAACTTGAAGACAGAAGAAAACGAGGTGATATAATCACTACATACAAAATAATAACAAGAATCGACAAAATTGATGGGCAAGAATTCCCGAGACCTAGAACTTCAAGAACAAGAAGTCATAGATTTAAACTAACTAAACAAAGCTGCCGAAGAAATAAGAAAATTCACTTTTGCAAACAGTAGTAGACAGTTGGAATAAGATAGGTGAGAAGGTGGAACAAAACCATCAGTAGCTTCAAAGCTTTATATGATAAAGAGTGCTGGGATGACGGGACACCATGAGTGTAACTCTCATCCTGCAACTATACTTAGGTAATTACTCACACACACCATTATTGATATTCACCTTTACATATGCTGTAATATTGCAGTTTTTTCCTCATCAGGAAAGCAACACCTCCGACTTGGCTAAGGACTCTGGGTTGGCTAAGAAGCTGTGGGAAGTTAGTGAGCAGTTAGTTAAGCTGAGACCCGAGGAGAGACACTACTAGCCACCTGCCGTTACCTGGACCTCAGGAGAGACTACTGGCTGTTTACTACCACCTGGACATGAGGCAAGATATTACTAGCTATCTACCATTACCTTCACCTGAGGACACTACCAGCCTCCTACCATTATTTGAGCCCGAGGACACTACCAGCCACCTACCATTACAGCACCTGGACCCGAGGAGGGAGCCTACTGGCTGTCTACTACCACCTGGACATGAGGGCAGACATTATTAGCCACCTACCATCATTTGGCCATCTCTAGAAACTACCAGTTACACAATTATTGGTTATGTTCCAAGAGTAGTTAATATGACCACCATTTTTAAAGTCTTATGAAAACTTAAGTTCACACCATTTAATTTTTTGCTGGTGCTGTTTGTGGAGATTAACAAAACAATTTCATCAAGAATACAGTACAAATAAAACTAATTTACTCAATTTATGGTTTCCTTGTAGAATGATAAAATGAAGTTTTATCGTTTCCTACTAGTTAAAGTGCAACAAAATATTTGGCAATTCTCATGTTGGATAACGATAGGGTAACGTTTTACACAAGCGTCAAGGCTTTCTACCCCTCTTACTGTCAAGGAAAGTGTAAGAGGAAAGGGCACTTCATAACACACACACTGTTGACTTGGTGCCTTATTTTGATAATTATTTATTGCGCTTACAAATGGCCAATTGAAGCCTGAAGTATAAAGATGTTTGCCACCCACTAATTGATGGCTAAAAACCACCCCACTAAGTTAAATAGGATTTTTATATTTAACAAATTTGGTAATAGATTGTCATTAGGAAAATATGGAATAACACTTGTTTTAGATAAGTTTCATAGTTTATTCGTTTGAAACTCTTGTCGGCTAAGTCAGTGAATTATGGTCCACATCCTAATCAAATTCTTGCATCACCCAACTCGCTTAACATTTGGCGATGAAGAGGAGGAAATTCAGCCTTAAAAGTACTTTGAAAATTTACATCTCACCAAAGCGATGTTGCGCTGTAATTTATTATAAATGGTGAGTGGGTTCAGACTCTTCAGACTCCAAAATCTCTTAAGTAAATATATTGGCTTTCAATTCATGCAAAATATACACTAAAATTAACACATTAGTAATAATCATTTGAATATCTTAAATTATCATCAATTTTTTATGCAACATCGATGTAACAGATTACCAAAAATTCAATGGAAAGGTAAAAATGTTAATATTTACTAGAAAACTATGCTGGAAGCAAGCTAGAAAACAATTGCAAGCTATGACATAACAGAGTACCTAGAGGTTGCAGAACTTTATTAAAAAAAAAAATATATCTATATATCTATCTATCTATATCTTATCCATCCTCCCACCCATCCATTCCAATCCCCCAAAATGAGGCCACAATTTCCTACTACTATCATTTTAATTCATTATGCTCAAATTACAAAACTATTTTCCAAGTGTCATGCCATATTGTCCAAGGCTTTGAGAGACTTGGGAGGCCACAGGCACTGCCTACACACACCAAAGTAAACAATATTATTACAACAAAAGATAGGCAAGCACAAGATCAACTGGCTGATTGCTAATACTACCAGAATCTGATAAATATTGAAAACCAGAGAACTTTAGCCACTGGTAAAGAATTTTAACTAAATGAAATTTCCTTAATACTGTAATAAAATATCTGTATAAACTTTACACAATAACCTCCAGTAAAAAATAGCTTTTACTTGTACTATAGTATCGAGATAAAATGGAAGGGTCAAACTCGACAATATTTGTTTAAACATGTATTTTTCAAAGACATTTTGAGTACAATATAAATTTAACAAAGTGCTACAAGATCTTAAATCTCTAATAAAAGCTTTGTGTATTATTACTATAGAATATAAATCTCTAAAAATAGCTGCTTACAAACATTTTCAACTCCAGACATCAGAAGAGTAACGTTTTGTGGTAATCATTTTCTTCACATAGATCTCGGCTTCATTTTGCGTCATCCCTCCCTCTGTCTGACAAATCTTAATTATGATGGCATGAACGTCCCGAGCCATGCTCTTCGCATCTCTGTAAGCAAAGAAAATCAATTTGAAACGGAAAATAATTTAAATTGAAGTAAAAAGTGCACACACACATTAGTATGTGAATAAGCTTTCTCCCAACCGAAACTCTACCTCTGTGTGTGCATCACGTCCTCTTTAACATATCTTCGACCTATTGGGAAGTTACATTTTTATGGCAATGACAAGGGTAAAGACAAGCCTGGTCCCAGGCTAGAAATGAGGAGATCAGATAAATGACTAACATACTATATGTTGATGCTATATAGCAAAACAATGTTGCTATATAGGCATCATATTACCCGCCTGTATAGCAACGTAAGACCAACTCACACCATGTAGGGTTAGAGAAAGTGTTTTGTAAACAAAATTCTTTAGATTGTTGCAATGTACACACACACACACACACACAAAAAACAAATTCTAAAAAGCGACACGTCTCAAATTTTGTGCTTAAGTGTAATCTTTAAAATTAACGATGCTTTAATTACACATATGGCAATGGCTAGTTTTTTCCTGGCCATTTTAATTACGAATTACTATAACATTGTTTAAATTGGTTACAGTACATGGCAATCATGCCCATTCCCAATCTAACAATGCACCAATTCTTTTGAAACTATGAAGTATGCTGTGTTTAGTGAATGGACACGTGTTATTACCTTTTTTAGCCCGTTTTTTTCTTACAGGGTTTCCTTTCCTTTTCTCTCAAGATTATTTTTCTCACCAATATTTCAAGTTTTATAAGTATAAACTTATTTTTCACCTTTAATTTCCAAGCAAATTTGCCAGTTTAAAAAAAGTGTACAAACTTACCCAAGTGTACTTATAGTTTAAGAGCTGTGCTCGTGGTATTCCGTCTTTCCGGTCATATGACGCTTTGAAACTGTGTGTGTACTTGCCTAGCTGTGCTTGTGGGGGCAGGTACAGCTCACCCCCCCCCCCTACCCCACAAGCTTTCTTTATTCTCATCTCTCAACTGTCAATCAACTGGTGTACAGATTCGAGAGCACACTCAGCTCTATCTTATTTACATTTGAAACTGTGTATGGAGTTTGTCTCCACCACATCAATGCCTAGTGCATTATATTAACTAATCTGTCACTAGATAAGTTCTTTCTAATATCTCTGACTCATTTGGGCACTCAGTTTCCACCTGTGTTCCCATGTGCATGTACCCCATGTTTAATAACCCATGTACCTTATCTATCTCTGAGAATCTTTCATGTGGTGATCATGTTTTCTCTAACTCTTGTTAGGGAAACTAACTCTTGTTAGAGTACTAATCTAGCAGAAGACTAAAACAAAAGCACTGGTAATGTAACAATCTTTGATTACACAAAGACTGCTGTAAAAGGAAGCACATGACTGGTCGAAATGAAACAGATATTAAAAAACTGTACACGGTGAATTATTGTTTCAATAGAACCCAGTCTTGTACAAAAATATAACAAAATGGAGGGATTTAAGTTATTGAGGACTGAGTGCATGGTTTACCTTATCTTATAATTATATTATATATTGCAGAAGAAAAAATCCAATTTAATACCGGCTCCCAGAAATTTAACAAAAGGAGTGTGTGTACTTTACAAAGAGAAATGGAACCAATATAGTTGATATACATGAATTCAGTTTAACTAAAAAGTCTGGGTACCTACCCACAAACATAGAGATGACCATTTTCCTCTCCAATTATACGCCATACTTCAGCCTTGTTTTCTTCCAAAAGATGAGTTACATAAATTTTTTCTGGCTGATCTCTGCTAAAAGCAACATACAGCTGAAAAACAAAGTTATATAAGAACATGTGTAATTGGATACTTATATGGAAAATACAATATGGTCAAGAAAATACATGGGTCAAGACATCTCATTTGCTCAACGTAAGTGAACTAAATGAACAAATCCACAAGGGCCGTGATGAAGGTTTGAACTTGCGTTCGAATGTGGGTTCGAATCCTCATCAAGGCCTTTGTGGATTTGTTCATTTGATGCATCACGCTATTGTGATTTCTGTGTGTATTGAGTAAACTAACTTCGCACACACTCCTCAATCTTACAGCTTTTTAACTCTTGCATGCTTCTTTCCCCATGAGATTTCCATTTCCATATTTATTCTCAACAAGAATCCTCAGATTGTCTATTTCTACTGCTCTAATTATTGTGATCCTACCATTCTATTTTCTCATATCAACACCCAGGGGCAAGAGAATTAATAAAAGTGAACTCACAAGAAGTTGACACAATGGCACTTGAGATTTGTAATCAGGATGATAAACTAGTAATCATAAATGTCTAAATTTCCCCAGCAAGTATCACATGGACACAGCTGGATGACAAACAGAGGGCCGCATAACAAATCATGAGAGATTTTATTACCAGCAAAAAGATAAATCAAGATTACTAGTACTTATTGACTTCAACTTTAAATCTATAGACCGAGACCTATGAAGCAAGAACAGACTACTTTTTGACTGGCAGATTTGTAAACCTCAACCTGGAGGCATTCACATATCAACGCGTTAAGCCATGAAAACGAGGAAAGGGAACATTTCTTCAATGATTCTTGAGGTTATCTTGAGATGATTCTCAAGATAGAGAATGAGAATGATTGAGAATGATGGTCTTGATATTCATCAGGAAAAAAGATGAACTTGACATATAGTAACTAACTTCCTTGGGTAAAAGTAATCATGTCCTTATGGAAATAAAATATGCAATGCATTATAGTGAAGAGAATGAGGAAAATGAAACAGTTGAAAAACTATTTCAGAAGAGGACACTTCGTGAAATTTGGCAACTTCTTTAATGAATTTAATTGGAAAGACTTCTTGTTAGGCAAGGAAGTAAAAGATGTATGCCAAGCTTTTTTAGATACTGTATATGATGAAGGCATAAAATTTATACAAACAGATTCTGAACTAGAAAACAGGATTGGTTAAAAAAAAATTTGAGAGCGCCAGAGAACAAGACAAAAAATGAATATAGGTATAGGCCAAACCCTCAAACATACCAGCAATACACAAAAGTAAAAAAAAAAAAAAAAAAAAAAAAAAGCTATATGGAAGGGAAATGCGAGGCACAATTCGGAAAGGAAGAGCAGACAAATGTAAAACAGAGCCAGGGCTATTCTATAAATTACTTAAAAGCAAATTGCATATAAAGGATAAAATTGAAAATTGAAAAAAGATTCACCGAAATGAAAAGGAAATATGCGAAACAAAAACGAACAGTTCCAAAGTGAGTGCAAAATGAAGTCTACTTTTAATAATCTTTTCTCACCCTCATCAATACAATTTTCTATTAACCAACATAAAGCTACCAGTTAATAATAATAATAATAATAAAAAAAAAAAAAAAAATGCATAACTATTTTGACACTAGGTTTATATCATTCCAACATTTTGATCTCAACCATTTCATAACTATTATTTTACAATCAAACTTAAAGAACCTCCTTCAAGAATAGAGGAGTTCCCAGAGGAACACAGCCAGATATGTAGCATATTTTAAATCGATAATTACTCATCCTCCCATATTAAAACAGACCTTTCATAAAAAGTCTAACTTCACTTAAAATACAATCAAAGCAGTTATCTAACATGTTTACTATTGTAACACACATACATCAGTACATTTCTATTAATGACCACTACTGGCTAACCAAGATCAAAGGAATAGTTTACCTTCAGAAGGCCAGAGTCTCTATATGCAGTCAGCTCCTCCTCATACAAGTAGTCCTTGTCCTTATTTCGACAGCCAAAGTAGAGTACAGTATCCCCAACAGGTTTCCCTATGGAGGTCACAGCACGGTTAACATTGGTGGAACCACAGAGCCAAAGCTCAATTTCCCCGCGAGAACAAACTAGGTGGGTATGTGATTTATATTTCAAATATACTTAAAACCTGGTTACCTCCAAGGAAGGAGTTTCAAATGATGAAAAAAAAATATAATCATGTTATTTATTCTGCACACTGGGATAAATCTGCTTAAAAGATTTTATGCAATGTACATAGTTTACAATCAGATTAAGAGGCAATTAACAAAGCCATGTCCTGATAGTCATGTTTGGAAAGCTGCATCTTAGGTGAACAAGCCTCACCGAAACATTTTTTGTTCCACTGAACAATTTGCACCAAAAACTGTACAAACCATTCGAGAATTCATAAGAGCAAAAACCCACTGTACTGTACATCATTTTAACTGGTCATTCTTTGACTTATTTTGTCGTGGAAACCAAAGGAAAGCCCCTCTGAAAATCTGAATACATTAAAATGCAACAATTACATAACTCATTAGCTAAATCATTGCCAATATTTGGCAAAAGCTTTGTCAATTGTCGTCATGTAATTCAAGCCCCTTAAAACAAAACAACAAAAAAATTCTAACCCTCTTCTTTCTGATGACTTCTGTCCTGGATGAACCCACGGAATGGAGCAATGCCTGTGCCTGGCCCAATCATCAGCACCGGAGTCTGTGGCTTGCTTGGTAACCTTGATAAACAACAAAACAAATTAGCTTCTTCGTCTATAATTGGTAAATATACTCGGCCTTTCCCCAACTAATGACTCTTTCCTTCAGGTACGAGCCTTGTGAACAATATCCTACAATTACAACTATGTACAGCATGTCCAATCTACTGCAGTTATCTAATTTATCATTATTATAGTTAAGAGTTCTGGGCACGTGCATTACATTCATTACATACATACAGTACATTCATTACATACACACAGTACATTCATTACATTCATGCAATAGATTCAGTACATACATGCAGTACATTCATTACATACAGTACAATCATTTCACACATACAGTACATTCAATACATACATACAGTACATTCAATACTGTATACATTTATGGGCTATTCATGCCAGTGCCACCTCTTGGGTGGTTTAATCTCCATCACTCATTACACACATGCAGTACACATAACAAGAGCAACGCTCAACGAGATTCTAACCTGAACTGTGATTTTCTGACGAAGATTGGTGCGTGATACTTGATGCCGTTGTCGGGTTTCAACTGTTTGAGATGTGTAGTGCATACGCCCTTATTCGTTCGCCCTGTAGGCGTCACATACTTCAGGACATTCGCAGTCACGTGGATTGTATTGGGATAAAGCTGAGGAGAGAATTCAGTCATCCTGTTAATTTATAATCAAACGTAGCATTATTTTGTCTTGACAATATTTATTACACATTTGTTAAAAACATTACAAAATAGTATATAATTAAATTAGACAATGTTATTTAAAATGTGAATACCTTTCCTGAAGATGATATAGAGTAGTATCTTGCTTGAAGCCTGGGAAGTAGTTCACAGAGGTAATCAAGTGGGGGTTTACATGAAGGCAAGTCCTCCAGAATGTGGACAATGCTGCGGACATCGTGCACAATCCAACGATGGTACTCTGCTTTGCCCGCCTCACTTGTTCCACTCATGAGTAACAGTTTTTCTTTCTCCTGTTTATAATAAAACCTTTGCTGTAAAACTAAAACATACCAAGCAATATACATTATATTTTCCAAGTTTATATTTATATCCCATATTCAGGTGGCCCCCTAGAGATGTTCGGTCATCTGCCCCACAACAACTCTGCTAATGCCCTCCGCTACAGATGGCAGAGGACCAACTCAGTCCTCCGCCACCTGGTGAGATGGCGGAGGACCGAGCTCCAAGCCACCTGGTGACAGTACTTTGTTTCAAATGAATTATTTTGCTTTGATTGAATTGTTTAGGGAGTTGTTTGTTATTTTTAAAGCTACGGGTCTTGTGAACCCATCAGTTGTCTGTAAAGCTTTTTGGTGAAATGGAGGAATGTCATTTGCTCTCTGCATCTCTGAGGGGAGGGTGGCCAGGTTCTGGCTCTGGTCTCTGGTAAGCCAAACAGAACTGCAACCGATGTAACTTGTAGTATGGAGCAATCTTTGATAGAGAACCATAAAACCACTGGGGTCCACCAGAAACAGGCATTTCATTACATTCAATACTTTTACATGATAAAGGAATGCATTTTAAAAATATTAGAAGGATAAAAGTTGGAATTTTCTTCTCCCACACCAGGGAGAAGTTAAATGAAATCAAGCAAGTCTGAATTAAAACAGTCATTACCTGTGTTTTAAATACTTTATCTTACACTAAAATTTTTCAAACTACTGTGTGTATTATATATATACATATAATCATGTTATGAATTATTAGATTCTTATGATCTCAATAGCTAACCAGTTCTAATGCTTGGCCTAATATCGAAATTCTAACATTAAATCTTATAATCCTAAAGAATAGAAATACAATTAGCTGCAACTTCTGCCATCCACTTCAAACTCACTCTATATAAATGCACTAAACACAATAGTACCGTATGTGGTCAGCAGCTCACTCCGACACAAATGGCTTACTAGCATTAGTTTCTCAGTGTTCCCCACTTAAACAGTTCAACTTAGCCTAGAAGAGGTCACTCGAAGAACAACATTTCTCAAATATTAAAGTATCACTAGCATATTTCTTGACCAATACATCATATTGGTCAAGAAATGTTATGAAGAAAGTTTTAACTTTAGGTTAAAAGATCAAACTATCCTTACAGTTTTCACAAGCCTTAAATTCCTTAATTTTCATTACTGGAGTACATTAAACGTTTTGAATGTTTCTGAAGAAAATTCTAAGAACTCCTTACCGCATTATCGGTTGTATATTCTGCAAGCTCCTTTAGAACATGAGTTCTGGGCAAGGATGCAATATCGACATAATGTGAGAGAGCCGTGCGATACGTGCAAGGACAGGGAAAGGGATGTTTCTTGCTGCTGTCCTCATCGACGTTAGTGAGGGTGATGACTTTTTGGGGATCTTCTCCAACAAGTTCTAGGAGTCGGTTCACAAGGGTAGTGTCGTTTACAGGATAAACTGCCACATGGTCGCCTGAATCGTACCTGTGACAACACAAGTCATGATTAGGAAATATTTCTTTTTCATTAACACACTGTTCAGTAGGTCCAGTATTAGTCTGATTTACTTGCCATTACTGTACTGCATTAATGCCTAGATTTGATTAACTAAGAAAGTTACGAAAATAAAAAGCTCATCAATGAATGGCAATTTTCTGCATGCACTTGGCACTCCATTACACTAAATACTAACATTTTGATAGCTCCTTACACTGTATTGCAGTCCACACAACTTTAAAATACTACCCAAGGAAATTATTTTTCAGCCACTCTTATCTCTCAAAACTGCTTTTCTAGTATATACTAAAAACATCCTTTCCATGTCTTCCCAATGTCATTCTTTCAAAAACAGTACAGCGAACCTCCCCTCCTGAATCAATAATAGTACAGTACAGAATCAAAAACAGCGAACCCCTCCCCCATTCTCCCACTATCTAGATCCGCATTTCATCATATTCTTGGAATATCCAAACCCAAATTTCCATTTCTCCAACCATATCTCTATTAAACATTACAAGTATTTTCAGCACATCTTAAAATACAAAAATATAATTGCCAATAAATTATGTATTATTAAATTATCAGGACATCTGAATGTACCAATTAGCTCTGATAATCGAGATAGTACAGGTATTGCAAATTGTATACCCTATTCCGAAATTATTAAATTGAAATGAATTTACTGTGTCCACAGAAACCTAAGGGGCAGTCTTCCCTGCAATAGTTCCAGCCTTTTAGTTCTTTCGTTTGTTTATTTTGCATAATAAGTGCTTTCATAAAGATATATAAATATTGCATTTACTAAGTAAATACTGTATAATCAGATTCATTGTATATCAGTAATAATTATTTATATATGAATCACTACAAGACCTGGTAGGGCATTAACTGCTCCATTATATATCTTTTGTTAGTCTATAGAATTGGAGATGCTATTCTATATATTGTGTACCAATGCATATACACTGATGGTGTGCACATCAACCAGGGTTGATTTTAGGTCTACCGTAAGATTTAAAACTCCTGTGGGTACATGGGGCTCGCATCCTGTTCTTCAGGAATCTAGTAAACAGACACCATCTTGAAAAAGCAAAGCAAAAAATTGCCTGTATGCCTCCTGGCTGCGAGGGCCTCAGTACCGAGGCTCTCGATACTGTGGGTTGTGAATGCAGCAGTTTACAGCATCACTTAATAATGATGAATAAAATAAATAATGATTTTGAGATGAGTGTCACAGATGATCTTAACTGTGCTCGACTATGTAACAAGTTCAGTCATCAGTGAACACAATGCTGATGATAATATTCACATCATGAGATAGCCTCAGCACTCTGCCATTTCCCACACTTTCTGGGGAATAATTTCACCGAGTGAAATATTAATTCCAATACACTTCCAACACACAAGTTCCACCCATACAGCAATCAAGAACTTTCTTACATCACTGACTTCAATTCAGTACCTATGAGTTCTGCGACAAATTTTCAACGTTTCTCTTGTTCTTTGTGAATGGTTTGCAGAGTTATTTGGCATGTAGGGTTTTGGTTTTTTATTAACCCTCTAGTTGTCTGTAAAGCTTCACGGACTTTCTGGATGCTATATCCCAGTACGGCAATGAATTGTCACTTGCTCTGTGCCTCTGAGGGGACAGGGGAAGGAGGGGGTGGGGAAAGGAGGGAAGGAGGGGGCAGATTTTGGCTCTAGTCCCCAATAGGCCAAACTGAACTCCCATATCTGATGTCACTCGTTTGCATGGAGCAATCTTAGTGAAAGACTCAGATAGCAACTGGGGCTCATCCAGAAAAAAAAAAAAAAAAAAAAAAAAAGTCATTACACTCAATACTTTTTTTTTTTTTAAATATACTGTCTAGGCAATAAAAGCTTTCCTAACCTGCACCTGTTCATTCCACGTTGTTCAAATCAAAAGTAAATTAAGAGGTAAACAAATAGTTTACAATACCTTATTCTTGAGCCTTCAATGTCCAGTTCAATGTGCATACAGTTGCGATCTCCTCCTTTAAATAATTCTCGATTGATTTTGATTTCTGCCATGAATGGATTCTTGCTGTCAAATGGAGGTCTCTGGTTGCCAATCTAAAATTAATGTACTCATTTATACATGCTGCAATATTTATGTAAAATATATTTCAATTCAGAAAAACTGCTTTACCTATTTACTTCGGAGTTATTACAAAAGTGAACTACAGTATTAGAAATGGTTAATTACCACATTTATTTTGTAGATCAAAATAATTTAACTTTAAAGTCCACAACCAAGGCCAAGCAATTATGTAGCATTTTATACAACATAAAGAGGCTTTACCAGTGGGTAAAAAGTCTAATTCTACAGCCTAGCCTGCAAGGCTTATTATAAGGAGAGGCTGGGAGGTCAGAGGGTGGACAATGGGGGGGGGGGGGGGAATGGAAGAAGGGAGAGGGGGGGGATAGAGGGGTAAGGGGGGGGGGTGGAGGATAGAGGGGTAAAGGGGGGAGGAGGAAGGGGGGAGGGGAGGAGAAGGGGGGGGTCAGGAGGGAAGCAGAGGGATAATTTTTATCTACATTACTGTACCTTATTTTATTATTCATATCTTATTTTATCACCCACTTTAACAAACATCTAAGTTCTTACACTTCAAATTACAGTACTTTTAGCAATTCTCATCACCCAACAAGATTGCAAGCCTTATTTTGCCTACAAATGCTAGCCTATAAACCTTGCACTTTTAATTTTAAATCAAAACTAGCTGTTTTTCCCATCAAAAAGGTATTCTGTTTTTAGTTTATTACAATTTAGTCAGGTATCACCAATTTTACTTTCTTATTACAGAGGCAAGCATGTTATTTCGTACTCTCCACCTTTCAAACATTTACATACCTTTAGTGAATTTAAACGAGCAAGCTCTCCAGTGAATAGACGAGACGGGTCATAATCCTCATGGACTGTAAGTCTGTACTGCCTCATATTGATGTCTTGTGCCTGACCTTCGATCCCAAAGAATTCACAAACCTGAGCAAATTTAATGGGAAAAAATTTATAGTTGCAGTAATTTAGTAAAATGCTATTTATTTTTGTTTTCCACATATTTAAATTTCTCTGGATTAACACTGTCTAGTATACAAGATTTACGAACAACACCCAAAACTGTACATTACATTTTAAATATTACAACCCAATCCCAAATCAGAAATAGTAACTCAAACCACACAGTCACGTATGTAAGAATAACGGAAACGAAGGCCTTTTCCAGTTCAAAACTTATCCAATTTGTATTCATCAGTTCGTGCAATATGACACAAAGCTTTACTTTTTACTACCCTTAATGAAAAAGCAACAGCATGGAAAACTTTCTGGGCTCCAAAAACAAGGTGCAACATGATTACAGCCACAGCTATACATTAGTGAAATGTGTTAAGTCTGCCGACAGTCATGAAGTTGTAGCAAGAGTACAGGATACCAAAGGATTTTAGCAGCAAGATTTATATAGACTCAGATATACATTAAAAATGGAAAACTAAATAATCTGTTTAATACCTTTAATTAATTTAAACAGCCTCTTGTACTGTTATAAAACATTAGTAGCCATGCTGGTTAATGGAGTGCACATTTTTAATCATTGCACTGTGTGTGATATCACATTTTCTACCCATGCTGTGCATATCATCGAGATGTTCTAGATACCCCACAACATTTTAAACTCCCACGGGTGCACAGCCTTCCCAATCGATGCCTTAAGTCTCCAGTAAACATTTGCCCTCCAGTAAAGCAACAGAGTGTAGTCCATTGTGTCAACAGTTGGCTAGTTTAAGGACGGGACTAGCTCCCAATCTAGTAGCGTAGCTTTTTTGTGAATCGCTTCCACATGGCTCAAATAATGTTAAATTGGATATGTGACTATAAATGGCTTTGATAATTCTGATAGTGACCCAGTTTGGTGGCCCTGTCTTATTCTTCAACAATATGTGATGACCTCTTCAAGAATTCATTATTTACTACACGCAAAGTTACACATGATTTTTTGCACATCCTTTTTCTTATGCTTATGGCATGCTTTTTAACAATACTAGAAGACAAAGAAAAATAATTATTTGAGAATAAAGATACATAATGCCTTATTTAATAACCCTTTGCATAATTCAGGGGTTAAAGTATTTGTAGAATTAACATTCCTTTAACCCCCTGGGATGTGTCCATTTACTGTATAGAAGATAATGCCATGGTGCACGAGAAAACAAAAATTCGTTTTAATATTGTTAAAATGCATTCCTGATCATAGGGCAAAAAAGATACAAATGGTTGGCATGAAGTGAAGAAATCTTGCAATATCATGATTAGCGAGCGTTCCCAGAGCATCACCCCATGGTGGCCGCCCTGAGTCCGGTGTGGGGGCATTGCTGTGACGATATTTTTACATAGTTACTTTAACGTTTGATTTGTTTTTCTCTGGTTTTCGCAGTAATATTATTCAATAGCATGTCATTTCAGAAATTCATATAATGCTTGGAACATCAGAATGCTAAAATTTATTCCTGTAATATATACACCATATTACAGTATATTTTTTAGAACAATAAAACTATCTCCGTTTTTGCTGTTATTACACTGTATACGCATACATTATATATATAACTATCTACATTTTCATGCACTATTGTGAACCATTAAGCAGTAAAGGCGAGCAAGCATCTGAACTAGTTATCAGAGTTCAGCCCAGCCCCACATTCCATTCACCTAGGCTGTATGAGTCTCGAACTGTGGACCCTACTCGTGTGAGGCCGATGCTCTATCAACTGGGCTATGAGTAGTTTTAATAAGGAAGTAAGTTTCCAGAAGCAGCATGGTAGCAGGATGCTGCTTCTGAATGGAATGTTTATTTCCACAGAAGTGTGGATGACAATTTACAGCCTCACATGTTTTGCACCAAGTTGTAACTGCAGACATTGATTATATTACAAATTCTTGGTATTTAGAATGCTTTTACCATGGAATTGTCAAGCAATGATGCATTAGGGTGTCACTATTATTTTTATCACAGAACATGAAAAACGTAAGTATGCACAGGTGTTGTGTCACTAATATGCCACAATTATATTCTTGGAACAATAAAACATACTTTTTTGCAGTCATTACATCGTAATCACGTTACGTAACACTACATTTTTATGCACCATTACAAACTGCTAAGAAGTTGTAGTGGGTGTAATAATCTTGGAGCCAATGATCATTTCTCATTGATCAATCAATTACTGTATTATTAATGATTATCAATGAGCTCAGTGATACCCACTTGGTCATTATCTTGCCAAATAAATTAATATGCCAGTAACATTACTATATTTTTAAAGATCTTTAGAAATGATAATTTTATAAAACTATAACAAATATAAACCTAGATAATGTTACACCATATATTATGCTAGCATGGAAATACAATAACAGGTACAGTATCTAAAATTTTATAACCTTTTAACTTTGCAATGGGCCACTTCAAATTTTATATGCTTAGCTGCATTAACTAATCATAACCTGACAGACACATGTAATGTACTAGGAAATGATGGCACAATAAATACCTTTAGCCACATAGCATCCTTCCAAGTAATAAAATCATCTTCCATATTAGCATCATCATCTCCCATACCCGACTCAAAGACTCTGCTGGCACCTAGTTCGGCCAGGCGCTTATCCACATATTTTCCCATGGCATTATAATGTTCGTAGGTCTTGTTACCCAAACCAAAGACCTGAAAGAGAGGAAAAATTCATCTAGCCTTAAATATATGAATTTATTATTGACTGGTATATATAGTGGATAAATATATATCTTTATTACCTAAAGAGTTGGACTATGATACATAATGCCACAAAATATAATCTAAGTGAAAAGCTTACCGTGTATTGCACTCCCTCAAGTTGTTCTTCACCACTTTCCAAAAATTCAAAAAATTCTTGGGCATTATCAGTAGGATCTCCTTCACCGTATGTGGCAACGCAAAAGATGGCCAGATGATTCTCAATCTCGGCCAGTTGTGACAGCTCTGTCATGTCACATTCTTCGGGATCAGCCACCATGCCCTGTGCAGAGAAACATTAAGCTTGAGCAAATTTAGGAAAAATATCTTAATATTAATATAGAGTACATATTGAGGAAAATCACAACTTATTCATAATAAATGGGTGACATTTTTAAGAAAGTTAAGAGTCCTTGAAAACAAGTATGTACTGTAGAAGAAAAGGCAATGTCAAGTATGTGTGTACCCACATACACACACAAGTATGTGTGTATATGTTTAGCATACCTTCAGTATGCTAAACATTTAGTAAACATGGACAAGGAGTCAAATTAAAGTTTATTGCTTTTTTTAACAATATTTTGCTAAGTAAATAGTTAATATTGCCCAGCTCATAGCCATAATGATTTCAATTAATTTTTTAGTGCAGTTTAATTATAGAATATAATTCAGTTTTGTTTTTCAACCATTTTAGCAATGAGAAAAGAGGGTCAGACAATGTCGAAAATTAAGCCCAATTTTATTGGGCTTAAAATTGGTAGTTCTGTAGTTAAAACTACAGTACTCAATATCATTGGTTTCTCTAGAAGTGGGTTCAAAGGTACATATCAAAGTACTGTATAGTTTCCCGGGAATATATAATACTGTAATAATTTCAAATGAAAATTAAATGCCCCTGAATGACACCAATATCCATTATGTATTTAGCTACTGCCACAAACAATACAAGTTCCTTACTAGTACTTGCCTTCATACCGAAGCGGGTGGCTTCTTTGGCGAGTCGTCCTGCAAATTCTTCAGCTGTTCCAGTTTGAGAACCATAAAACACAACAACGTTTCTTCCTGAAGACTTCATTTTGGAAACGAAGCTATTGTCGTTTGGGCGTGTTTGTAATTGCGTTGGCCTGGGCAATAAAAAATTAGATATGAAGAAAACCCACATAAAAGTTATTTTAAAATAGAGTACTGTACAGTAGATTTTTTGCATTACAGTATTTTTTTTACCTTAAATATTAGTAATACACCACTTTCTCTCATGCACACATCTTTCAGTTAATTTTTGTCTGGTACATCTTATACAGTACTAAAGAAAACTGCATGTTTTTGTCTGGTACATTGTATACAGTACTAAAGAAAACTGCATATTTTTGTCTGGTACATCGTATACAGTACTAAAGAAAACTGCATGTTTTTGTCTGGTACATTGTATACAGTACTAAAGAAAACTGCATATTTTTGTCTGGTACATTGTATACAGTACTAAAGAAAACTGCATGTTTTTGTCTGGTACATTGTATACAGTACTAAAGAAAACTGCATATTTTTGTCTGGTACATTGTATACAGTACTAAAGAAAACTGCATGTTTTTGTCTGGTACATTGTATACAGTACTAAAGAAAACTGCATGAATATCCTCAATAATACTATTACTGTATATTTTGTACAGACCTTGCTCAACATGTTGGCAAAATATTAGGTAATGGGCAAGATAAAAGGTCAAGATATTCTATACAGCCAAGTGATAATGTGTTTATGCATAAAAAGGCTGTCACAAAAATGACAACTAGTTTGATTTAAGTCAATCGACTTGAGAATGGTCCAGGATGGACCGAAACGTCGTCGTCCCTTCACCTTCTAGTGTGTGGTCTGGTCAACATACTTTAGCCACGTTATTGTGACTCATCGCCTGCATAGTTTGATTTACCCTGTGACTGTCAGGGTACAAATGAGGAAGGACATTAATCCTTTGTTCCTTATAGAAATACAATTATATAATAAAATACTTACGATATTGTGAAGCTCCTAATGGGAGCATCATCATCTTTTTTGTTGCTATCTCGCAGGAAGAAATAATATACAGAGACGCAGCCAAGCAAAGTTAGCAACACCAGGTCCAACACGCCAACCATTGGTTCTGCCCCAATCTCTTCTGCTGCCTCCTTTGCAGCTTCCATGAAACTTTCTGGTGTTCCCTCCATCCTGTATAAAAAAAAAAAAAAACTAATTTCAGGCACTATTCATTTACCTAAATTTACAATCCTTACAGCACCAGTGGTTTACATAATCATTAACACGACATTTCTGTGCCAAACATTGAATGTTTCATTAACATTATAAACATGTAGTACAATACTGTATTTCTGAAACCTGGTTAGCTAACCAAAATACTCTTCAGGACATCAAGTCTCATTTATGTAATAAACTAATGAAAACTTATCAGCAACCAAAATAATAATTATTCACAAAACTCACACGTAAGAGAAACAAATATCTATTTGACATTCCAAGGCGAGACTAAACTGAAGCAAAAAATGCTTTGCAAATGATGGGTCCTAAACTGTGGGATGACCTTCCACAAGAGATTAAAAACTGTACTTGTCTCAACCAGTTTAAAAGTGAAACAAAGACTCCTATTTAACTCGCTTCATCCAACATGTCAACCTGTATTTTGCCGTTACTGTGAACACTAAATAGTTGACATTATTATATTTGTGCTGTTGTTGAAACTGCAGTTTCTAAATACATATCACTTAAAAATTGTCCTTTGCTAAACTTTTTATTTCATTTTAAGCATTACCCCATTAAACTTTGAAATAAGCTACAGTGTTAATAAGTCACCATGTCACCTATGAAAGTTAGTGATAAGAGCTAAGCAAAAGGAAAATTGATTAGAACATGAAAGATATGAAGAAAGACCTCATAGGAAAACATGAAAGTGGTGCCCGTGTGTCTGCTCGTTACAGAATTTATGCATCCAATGAAAGCATCCAGTGAATGTAATGAGGGAAACGGAAAAAGACAGAAGAGAAAAAAAACAGAAGCACAACTTCCAGAAGTTACAATGGCAGGGACTCCCCTGCTAAAGCCCAACATCTCTCACCCGCCTCTGCCTTGACACTTTCCACATATGCCATCAACTTTCCTAGTGCAGGTAAAGTTCATAGTGTCTACCATTTATTTTACTTAATTATGACATTAATATAATGTAGGGTTACACCCTGGCTTCCTGTTCAACACAATGAATTATTAATGAATTCTAATTATTTTTGTGGTTTAGAATGGATTAATCCAATTTACATTATTCCTTATAGGGAAAAAATTTCTGTACAGTATTCAAACTTTTCGGCATTCGTCCTGCCTTCAGGAACCAATCAAGTTCGAATATCGAGGTTCCACTGTACCTAGATAATTATGCTTACGTTATGCCCGAAATCATCTATGTATTAGTGGCATTATATAATGCATATGGGATAATTCATAGGTAAACAATGTACTCTATCATGTATCACAAATGCATGTATTTCAATGCTGTATAAATAAAATTATTACAGTACAGTACTACAGTACTGTACTATTAATTTATATGATAATCATTTCTGCCCTGCCCACAATTCAAACCCTGAATTCTCAATTGTGAATCGAGAACGAACACGTCCGTACTACCTTTTCTATCCAGAACCACCCCCAGATTCCCATCAGAATTCTTTAAAGCGTTTCCACATAATTTGTAGGTTGTATGTGGCCAGATGATTATTCTCCTATTCCACATTCCATGACATGGCATTTATTCACATTAAATTCCATTTGCCAAGTATTGCTCCATTCACTTATTTTGACCAAGTCTTCTTGAAGGGCATGACAATCGTCTAAGTTTACCTTCCCTGTATAGCAACTCGGCATTTAACATTCCAGGATATAAGGGTGCTGAGTGCTCTCTGTGATTGGAGTTTGCTACCATTTTGATTGCTAAATTATGTGAAGTAATTCTGTGTTGCAAGTACTGTACAGTGTTACAAAGGAAGAGCGAGATATATAGTACCAGATTTTAAAGAGTATGCCTACAGTTTTAGAAACCTTTTTTGTTACATTTTCAATATGGCAATTGATGTTCAGCATGTTGTCAATATGAACACTAAGGAACTTTCCATCTACTCTGCTTTATGTCTAGGCATTTTTAATTCTTAGTTGAATTTGATAAGTTGGCATGTTTCAAAATGTGTCACGTTTTTTTTAACAATAAGGGTGAGTTAGTTAGTCGGCCACAAATAGAATCTGAGTTCAGTATTCACTGTCATTTAGAATACACACATCATTTGAGAGAAAAAAAACAAAAGAGGTAGTGTTATTAGTACTGTTAATAGAATTAGCTTCAGGTGATGAGTGGCATTAATAATAATAATTTGTTATTCAGAAGAATGTGTGTTCTCACAATGTTTAGGTTAATAAAATTTCCCTTAACCTTGCCACCTTCACCTGACAATGACCTAATAAACCTAAATTTGTCCGATTATGGATGACCGATGTACACGACTTAATGGTCCAAGGCAGACAAACGTGGTCAACGCCTTTGTCGGAAGTATGGGTTGAAAGTTTAATATTCAGTCCTGTCTGACAGCCGAGAATATGGCGTGAATGTAATCCTGACAGCCGAGAGAACGGCGTGAACGTAATCCTGACAGCCGAGAGAACGGCGTGAACGTAATCTTGACAGCCGAGAGAACGGCGTGAACGTAATCCTGACAGCCGAGAGAACGGCGTGAACGTAATCCTGACAGCCGAGAGAACGGCGTGAACGTAATCCTGACAGCCGAGAGAACGGCGTGAACGTAATCCTGACAGCCGAGAGAACAGTGTGAACCTAACCCTGACAGCCGAGAGAACAGCATGAACATAATCCTGACAGCAGAGAGAACAGCGTGAACCTAACCCTGACAGCCAAGATAACAGCGTGAACCTAACCCTGACAGCCGAGAGAACAGCGTGAACCTAACCCTGACAGCCGAGAGAACAGTGTGAACCTAACCCTGACAGCCAAGAGAACAGCGTGAACCTAACCCTGACAGCCAAGAGAACACCGTGAACCTAACCCTGACAGCCGAGAGAACGTGAACCTAACCCTGACAGCCGAGAGAACAGCGTGAACCTAACCCTGACGGCCGAGAGAACAGCGTGTACCTAACCCTGACAGCCAAGAGAACACCGTGAACCTAACCCTGACAGCCGAGAGAACGTGAACCTAACCCTGACAGCCGAGAGAACAGCGTGAACCTAACCCTGACAGCCGAGAGAACAGCGTGAACCTAACCCTGACAGCCGAGAGAACAGCGTGAACCTAACCCTGACAGCCGAGAGAACAGCGTGAACCTAACCCTGACAGCCGAGAGAACAGCGTGAACCTAACCCTGACAGCCGAGAGAACAGCGTGAACCTAACCCTGACAGCCGAGAGAACAGCGTGAACCTAACCCTGACAGCCCAGAGAACACTGTGAACCTAACCCTGACAGCCAAGAGAACACCGTGACCTAACCCTGACAGCCGAGAGAACGTGAACCTAACCCTGACAGCCGAGAGAACAGCGTGTACCTAACCCTGACAGCCTAGAGAACGCCATGAACGCAACCCTGACAGCGGAGAGAACGCCATGAACGCAACCCTGACAGCCGAGAGAACAGCGTGAACCTAACCCTGACAGCCGAGAGAACGCCATGAACGCAATCCTGACAGCCGAGAGAACAGCGTGAACCTAACCCTGACAGCCGAGAGAACAGCGTGAACCTAACCCTGACAGCCGAGAGAACAGCATGAACCTAGCCCTGACAGCCGAGAGAACAGCGTGAACCTAACCCTGACAGCCGAGAGAACAGCATGAACGCAACCCTGACAGCCTAGAGAACAGCGTGAACGCAACCCTGACAGCCTAGAGAACATCGTGAACACAATCCTCAGAGAACAAGGCAATGCCTGAGAACCCGAGCCCTTGCTTAACAACGGGTCACCGACCTACCCACGTAACCTACCACTAACTCCACCACCTTCTCCAAAGGGGGGCAAGAACAGTGGGGGCCAAAGGGGTAGTAGTGGTTCTTCTCTCCTCCCCGCGTGTGTGGAGAGAGTATATACCTTAAGGGTGTGGAGTGTGGAGGAGCAGCAGTAACTTTATGTAACACCCTGGAGCGCCCTGGCCGCACTGAGCTTGTAACTCAGCTGATTCTTCCTTTCAACCCTCACGTATACAACCCCCTGCGATTCGTACATGCCACGCTCTGTCTGTTTTTTCCTCTTTATATGCATATACGAGGTTTTTAACGCGTTCAGTTATGCTAAACTAGGATGTTTATTTGTGGTGTTGAGTGGGGGATTGTATTAGAAGTGGTTAGAAGGGTATTATACGGTGGAAATATTGGTTTTGTATGCTGGTGTTATCTGTGTACGAAAAGTGGAGTGTGTATACTACTGCGTACACACAGGGATGTCTCACTACCACCCCCGCGGGGGAATAATTATTTGTTTTATTCACTTTACATGGCTCATATGGCTTATTTCCTCGCAGTATTACCCACATACGCTTTAACAAAATAGTAACTGTAATTTTTAAACCCACCAGATGTCCTACGCTCATCCAAAAATGTGAATAACATGTTTATAATAAATTGGTAGCTACCAACTCGTCTTGTCTAGGACCCTCACACTCAGCCTCTTACCAGCGTTCAAGGTCATACTTTTTTCTATTTAACTGGGTGAAAAATCATAATTAAACAGAAAATAATGAGCGAATATGATAGAATATGACACACAATGCGTTTTCTATATAACAGTATGGAAATAAAATGACAATGAGTCTAGCCTGAAGAAGCCAATTGAAAAGTTTCAAAATCTGTTTTCACTGCGCCATGCAGCACGTATGTCTCTGAACCCTTTACGTAAAAACTTGTTCCGCCTTCGTTGCGGCATTAAATTCCCGGGTCTGTTGCGTCTTTATAAGTCATTCTATGTCTTAAAATCTCCCTATTTGACGCTATCTGGCGACTATCAACTTAAAAGTGCCTTGTCATGATGCCTTGCAATTTCCACATCGTCTGATGAAGTCCATAGCTGGGTACACAAGCACGCATCATAATTACTTATTCATTTATTTTGCCACGTCTTTTTTATATGACAAACTATCCTGCCAGTTTGGTAACTTGGCATTTTGGGTTTAGAATAAGTTGACGCTGTGGCAACTGAACCTAACTAACGTAAATTAAACTCGTGTGCATTCTGTTGTTGTTGGTTTAGATTTAGCTACTCGCAAAAAAAGTTGCAAGTAGCACGGGCTATGGTGAGCCCGTAGTGGACTTACCTGGCACAAGAGCGGAGCTGTTGTGATTGATAAAGATTAAGCCACCCAAGAGGTGGCACAGGCATGAATATCCCGTAAGTGGTGGCCCTTTTGAGCCATTACCAGTATCAAGAACTGATACTGGAGATCTGTGGAGGTGCGACTGCACCCTGCGTGACGGGAGATGCCTCCCATGACAGGAGCGGAGCTGTGGTGATTGATAAAGATTAAGCCACCCAAGAGGTGGCATGGGCATGAATAACCCGTAAAGTGTGGCCTGTAAAATAGCCCGTAAAGTATATGCTCGCGCAGGCAAGTGTATATGTGACTAGGAGGTGATAGTCTAGCTGCCCCTTTCCTGATTCCCAATTCCACCCCTCTTCCCTATCTTTCCTCCCCTTTCCTGATTCCCAATTCCACCCCTCTTCCCTATCTTTCCTCCCCTTCCCTTTTTTTCCTTCCTTCTCATCTCTCCATTTTTTACCATCGTCCCAACCCTCTCCATTTCTACCTAACCTTCTCCCTTTTTCCTCCAACCTCGAACAGTCAGACAGTTCTGAATGTTCGAGGGTGGAGGGGAGGTCTTGACTGATCCAACCCTTTAATGTTTGTTAGTGTGTGTGTGTGTGTGTGTGTGTGTGTGTGTGTGTTAGTGTGTGTGAGTGTGTTAGTGTGTGTGTGTGTGTTAGTGTGTGTGTGTGTGTGTTAGTGTGTGTGTGTGTTAGTGTGTGTGTGTGTGTGTGTGTGTGTGTGTGTGTGTGTGTGTGTGTGTGTGTGTGTGTGTGTGTGTGTGTGTGTGTGTGTGTGTGTGTGTGTGTGAAAATTAGGATTAAGGACTTGCCCGAAACGCTATGCGTGCTAGTGGCTGCACAAGAATGTAAGAACTCTTGTATACACTCTATATACAAGCTCCCTTGTTTAAATCCCTAAACTTGCTAAATATTAACTCCCTCCACACATTCTCTTGTGTCAACTACATTTACAAAACCCTGTTCTTAAATGCAAACCATGCTCTGAAACTCTCCCTGGACAGATGTAATAGGACCCATTATCACCACACCAGAAATAAATATCTCTTTGATATCCCCAGGGTCAAGCTTAATCTGTGTAAACACTCTATGCAAATTAAGGGACCTAGTCTATGGAACTCACTCCCTAGTGAATTGAAAAACTGTAAAACTTTTGCCTTATTTAAAAGCAAAACCAAAAAGTACCTAATTTCATCTTAGTTTCCTACACTGAGCTTTAAATTTGTTCTGTACCTAGTGTTACCCAATCTCCTAATTTTTATGTAGTATCAAACAACCTTATCATTGTGTTCATTGCTGTCTTCTTTTATGTGCTAGCCATATGCTGTATTGTGCCTACCAATTTTTGTCAACTACCATTCAAGCTGTCATTGCAATCAATCTTATATTGTTTCTGCTGTATTGTGCCTACCAATTTTTGTCAACTACCATTCAAGCTGTCATTGCAATCAATCTTAGCTACCTATGTGCTTTAATATACTGTACCTACAATTTTCTCTCATCTTATTTTTTTCATTCCATGTAACTGTTATCATTTTTTTGTCTATAAATTTTGCAAGTATTTACCTCCATAAAATTTTCTTAGATTAAGGACCTGCCCGAAACGCTGCGCGTACTAGTGGCTTTACAAGACTGTAATTACCATATTATGTATCCTCACATTCACAATGTACATTCTTGTATATGCATAAATAAATAAATAAATAAATAAATAAATAAATATATAAAATAATTTTGTTTGTGCATGTATTAGGAGGTTTATAACTCACGTTAATCACACTCCTTATTTCACACTTGACACTGAAAGTTGCTTTGGGGTTATCTAGAGATTATCTTGAGACGGGGGTGTGGGTAATTGTTAATATTTCTTGAAACATTAAACTTTGGCGATCCGGTGCAGTCGGATTCATTCTCGACTCACAATCGACAATTCCGGGCTTCGATCCCAGGCGGGACAGAAATTATTTAGCACACATCCTACCACCTAATGCAGCTGTTCACCTAGCAGTACATAGCTACCCAGGAGTTAGCTTGTTGCAGGGTTGCATCCTGGGGGAGGGTGAGTAGTTCTCCCTGACCTCTATACAAGCCTAACGCGTATGTACACACACTATGGCTACCTGTCCCCCAACACAATGAATTTTTATGATAGAAAATTGCGAACGTCGACACATTTTCAAGGCATGTAAGGAAGATAATATAAATGAGCTATAAGAAAAGGCAAAGTGAACCAAAATTAACGATAATGGAAAAATAAAAGTATAAGAGATGATATAACACATACGTGATAATTATAGAAAACAAAACTGAGACACCTGAGGGATGGGAAACTGAGACATACAAGGGGGGACTGAGACATAATTCGTATGCAGTGAGAATGGTGAACCAGTAGAACTGGCTTGGACCAGAGGTGGTAGACTACGCCATCTATAGCATCAAAATCAAGAGTGACAAGAATAATAATGAGTAAGTCAAAAGGTACGACCACAATGAGGCGTAGTTTACGTACGCATGCGAGCAGACAGACATGCGCACGCGTGCACACACACACACACACACACATATAGCGCCCATACATACCTTATAAAGCACCAGACGAAACTGGAAAAAGATCAGAGGTATGCCACTAGGCTAGTCCCAGAACTAAGAGGCATGAGTTACGAGGAAAAGCTGAGGGAACTGCACCTCACGTTGCTGGAAGACAGAAGAGCTCGGGGAGACATGATCACCACATACAAAATTCTCAGGGGAATTGACAGGGTAAACAAAGCTGGATTATTCAACGCGGGTTGTACACGCACAAGGGGACACAGGTGAAAACTGAGTGCCCAAATGAGCCACAGAGACATTAGAAAGAACTTTTTCAGTGTCAGAGTAGTTAACAGATGGAATGCATTATGAAGTGATGTGGTGGAGGCTGACTCCATACACAGTTTCAAGTGTATGTATGATAGAGCCCAGTAGGCTCAGGAATCTGTACATCAGTTGATTGACTGATGTACTGATGTACCTATAATTTTCTCTCATCTTTTTTTTTCATTCCATGTAATCTGTTATCATTTTTTGTCTATAAATTTTGCAAGTATTTACCTCCTTAAAATTTTCTTAGATTAAGGACCTGCCCGAAACGCTGCGCGTGCTAGTGGCTTTACAAGACTGTAATTACCATATTTGTATCCTCACATTCCCAATGTACATTCTTGTATATGCATAAATAAATAAATAAATAAATAAATAAATTGACAGTTGAGAGGCGAAAAAAAATTGAAAACGAGAATTTCCAAATTTCCGAAGAATTACCCAAGAATAGTACTGTAATTAAAGAGTAACATGACGTAATGCGCTGTTATCCTCTATAAGGTTCTCTATAAGTTACTACTAAAAATAGCACTATCTAATCTATTATTAACTTAACGTATTGCAATTAGCTTACTTAAGTATCAAGTTTGATAACGGTAAACTATAAGCCTAATATACAAGGTTCGTAAGTGGTCGCGTAACTTCTTCGTGAATCTAGCCCCAAGACTTTATTTACCAGTCTTAACAAAATACTGCTCTTGACAGCACCTGAACGATCAGTGTTAATTTTTGTCAATAACTTGACAGCTTAGCGTGCTCATGATTATTTATGGATTAAGCTTTGTTAGGCTACATGGTACAATGATTCTTGGCTAGTTCAGTTTGAGTTACCATTAACATTATTATTCCAACAATTTGAAGAAACCAAACCAAACTATCAAACTCGGTAATGTCTCAATTAATACCACAGAAGAAATTTACCTATATTTACTTGTGTTATAACCCGTCCTCCAAAGACCCACAGGTGATTCCATCCACCCGCCAAACTCCCTGTTTATGAATGAAAAACGGTTTACACACGACTCACAATTGATTTCGTTCGAACAATTCCGGAACAAGTGCT